AAGGTAAAAAAAGAGCATTAAATTTGGTATGCTAAATTCGTATCTATAAATAAACATTATCACCAAAAATTATTGAAATCGGAAAACTTTATCATATAGCCGCCATACAACCGATTTCATCAGATATGAGGTTTTGGGTCCAAAATTTGTAAAAAAAAAAAAAGTATCCAAGAGCATGAAATTTTATATGTTTTTGATACGGTCATGGAAACTATAAAGACTTCGATATGACCGAAGACAACTCGTCTCTCATGTTTTAATTTGAAATTACACTAAAAGCACATGCAGCAAAGAGTTTCAGTGTAGTCTCTTCAATTTTTAAATATTTCTTTAATCAGATAGCTGTAATTATTATTTATATGTGTCGAAATAACTTTTGAAAGTATTGCAATCCCCCTCTATATATTAATTTATATTTATTTAAGTATTAATTTTTTTCCAGGTTGCTGGTTTTTAATATTTTTATTTTTTTTCTATTTATTTGGTGAATGAGATTTCTTTGAAAACTCACCCCCATGAAATAAGCAGTTTTTTGTTCAGCACAAAACTGGCTTATTATCGTAAACTTTTTTACTTTGTGTTAATAAAAAAAAAAATTGCATAAAAGTAATTCCAAATTACTTGCCTTTTTCATAAGATGCCGCAAAAACCGCAAAATGACTGCTAAATCCGATCTTCACCGCAACAAGTGTTTTTGCAATGAATATTATTATTGTTATTGTATTGCAGTTACTTAGGTTTTTTGTATTTTATTTTTGCTAATTTTCATCAAATTAACCACAACAAATAGCCTGTCTTATTATCAGTTGCGAACAGGATGTTTCTGGTTATTTTATTTTTTTTTACATTTTTCAATCACAAGTGAGAACTGTTATGCTGGTGAATTAATTTGAATGGATTTTTATAGTTTTATTATATATATATATAAATATATTTTTACATATATATTTTAAGGACACAACAAAAAAATATATGCAATAACACACAAAGGTATTTCAATATAGATGAATGATTTTGTTGAAACTTTAATTAATTTTTCTTTTTAATAAAAATTTAAGTATTTTGACTTATTTTTATTCACTTTCTACTTTTTTTTTTTTGTTAACAAAATTTTTTGTCTTATTTTAATTAATTTCTCAGTTTTTGTTATTTTATTGAAATAAAATTTAAATGATTAGTTTTCATGCGAACCTTTATTCTCCTTATTGGCCAAGGTTTACACAATTTTTTTATATTTAATTGTTATTTGCTCAGTTTTTCACCCATTTTAATATAGTTTACACATTTTTATTTGTTGTATTTCACACTTTTTTAATGTAAACACTACATTTTTTTAAGCAAATTTATTATTACTTTCACTATATTTTATATTTTATTCCTTAAAGTTGTTTCTGAAAGTATTTAAACACTTTTTGACTTTTCTTCTAATAAAATATTTTTTTTTTCGTTTTTTACACAATTTCAACGGCATTAAAATATATTTCACATACCAAAGAAAAATTCATTTCCAGTTTTAGGAGCGCACTCTTAGTTAGACTTTTTCAAAAACTATGTTTTATTCATGTTTTCACATAACTTTCAATTGTAAATAATTTTCGAAACAGAGGTTTTGCACAAAGATATTTCATTTCTCCTTCGCCAACGAACAATTGTTGTTTATATTATTTGTTTTTTTTTTTTATTTAATTTATTTTTTTTTTTTATAAAATTTCACTCACTGCTTGCATATCAGTAGAAAGTTACACCATTCAGCACGCACAGCGTCGAAACACCCAACACATTACGCGCCCAAAACCAAAAAAAAAAAATCATACACACATATAGACGCGATCAATCAAATCGATCGCTGTATATTCACCGCTTTGTGGCTAAAACAGCAACAGAAACAGAAAAAACCGGTGGCAGTAAACAAGCTTGCCGTATATGCTTTGTATATGTTTATATGTACATACATATGTATGTATATAGACGTGTCTACTCGACACTACGTAGAATTGTTCAAACGTTGCTTGCAAAGCATAAAACCCACTAAAAATTGGCACTCACTCTGTCCGCTTATGTATATACGTTTGCTTCGGCTTCAACATTCGTACTGTCAGTTGAGAATTGGAAAATGTAAACAATTGCCACAAGTGGCGGTAGCCGTTAAAACTCCAACCCGACCAGTTTTTTTCATGTGCGTCTCCACATTAGTTGTTTGCTGTAAAAACAACACTTGTCAGCTGAGCGCAGGTCTCAGTTTCGTCTGATGTAGTGAACATCGGCAGTTGGTGGTAGCATACGATCGGCAAAAAGATGTTTCGGAGCATGTATTCGTCGGTTAAATGCCGGCAAATGTAAACGGAAAGAACGAATATTGCTGATTCTGAGCGGCAATAAATTGGAGACTTATATCTGTTGTTAACAGTATTACATTATGTTAACTAACATAGCCAACATCAGAGGCTGGCGAGCTTACTATAGGTAAATTACAAGTGTTACATTAACTTGGGACGTCAGAATTATTGAAGGAGATCTGTAATAGAAGGGCAGCATGTAAAAGTAGACTCACTTGCAGCTGTCGGAATATAGCTGAATTTTAATCTGTAAATATACTGCTACTCGTACAGGCCGTACGCGTTTTCCCACGCCAATTATCAATTAGGTATCTTAGGTTGATATCGAGAATTGAAGAGGAAAGTAAGAAACGAGTGCTGACAAAAAAAGAAAGAGGCCCAGATACGTGAGTCTTCGCTTTTCACTTTTAGGAAACCAGAATTAAGGCGCAATGGCAGAAAGTCCAGGTTAAAAGACATTCAAGACGACTTTGGAATGCCCCTTAATAGACTATTGGAATCAAGGAAATATCTTGCATGTCAGAATCGGAAAATGTTGACATATTATAACGCACTGCTAATCATTCGGCTAATTAAGTCGCAGTGAAACTGATCATTCCAGACATATAGCGTACTTGACAGCTTTCACTCCCGACTGAATTATCAATAACCTAACAACCAATCAAATAAAAGACGATCTCAAGAACAACTTTCGTGCTTCTAGGACACCATAGCAGCAAGATCGTAAACTTGCTGATCGAAAGCAATTTGGAAATTAAGGATTGGGGTCGCCGCTCATAAAATTATTCATTCACATAAGTATCACCAGTTAAAAACACTATTATTACATCTATTTACAACAACTGTGCGAAGGCGTGAACAAACAAAATTAGTTCAATTTGGCTTACGTTTCGCTGAATTATAATTGAGATAAATAAGTAACAATAAAAAGTAAGGAAGAGCTAAGATTACGCATACAATAAATATACGACACAATTGAAAGTAAGCTGCTGGAAAGTGAAACTAACGTCGCTACAATAACAAAATTAAGGGTTTTATATACTATCAAATTTAACATCAACTGCATTATTAATTGCTTCCCAATATTATATATAGTTAAAAAAGAATATACCTATATTAATAGATCTGGCCAATGCAACTCTAGATTAGACAAAACTGATATACCCTGCGTATATACGGTACCGTCCGCTTTGAAAATAACCAAATTCAAAATAAAAAACCCTGAAAGCAAAAATCAAATTTAAGTTAAAACCATGGAGGCGGCTTACAGTGCAGCGGAACCACTCACGCAGAGACCAAAAATATTTACCGAGAACTATGAAATTTTGTAACTAGTGCCAAATATTGGCATCAATTTAGTTATTTTATTTTTATTTTTTTTTATTTCATTTTAAGTAATTTTAATTTATCTTCATTTCATTCTAAGTAATTTTAATTTATATTCATTTCATTTTAATGCAAACTAATTTAATTTTATTTTATTTTATTTTATTTTTTTTTTATTTTATTTTATTTTATTTTATTTTATTTTATTTTATTTTATTTTATTTTATTTTATTTTATTTTATTTTATTTTATTTTATTTTTTTTTGTATTTTATTTAATTTTTGTATTTTATTCTATTTTATTTTCTACTTTGTTTTATTTTTTAATTTGTTTTTGTTTTTTTTTTTAATTTTATTATTTGATTTTATATTTTATATAATTTTTTTTAACCCTTTGTTATTGATATTTACAAATATTAAATAAACCAAAAAACAAAATCACTGTGCCTTTAACGAATAAGCGGAAAAAATTATTAAAAATCGTTATTGTGACTTTGGGCAAACTAATGCTACAAATGCTATTTACCAGCAAATCTGACAATATTTACAAGCAGCGTTGAAAATCAAAAAGTGCGACACTCAACAGCGCTGTGAATAAATTGTCACACCTTCAAATTGCGATTACATAAATACATCAAAAGATTGTTAAAACAACAAGGAAAACAAAGTGATACGTATTAAATGCAACTTAAAAGAGGCATGAAGACTGCTTTTGAGAGAAAAGAAGAAAACGTGCTTTGTAAGAGACAGACTGATGAGAATAATTTACGCTCATTTGTTGTTATTTACTTTTTTTTAATAGTAGTGTCATTTTAGCTGTCTCACTTTTTTAGCTGGAAAAAGCAAGGTCTCGCCAATAACATGTGGCGAAGGATAAAAATGGTTTTGGTGGATGGTAATATAATAATAATAATAATAATAATAATAATATGCGTGTATTACGAAGAGCCCCACTCAAGAAGCACGCATTTCTTCAATATCCAGCTATTTCTATTGTAACAGTAAAATTTTGATTTCATTTATGGTAGTTTCTATTTATCAAATGTTAGAGTTCAATTTTTTTTTTATATTCGGTAACTAAAATTTTTTTCTTTACTTCAAAGTAATATCTATGTTTAAGAAAGAAAAGTCAAAATCAATTGAAGTTCTTGTAAAACATTTCTTTCCTGGTCGCCCTGCGTATAGATAATAATGTTGTTTAATCGGCTGTTTCCTTATTTATCTTTTCTATTCGCCAAAGTGCAACAAAAACACCACGAAGAGAAGTCAGATTTTGACATTCAACCATTACACAAAAAAAAAATTACAAAATTTTGCTTTTGTTTTTGTAGGTTTTCTTCTATTAATTTGCCTTTTTTATGTATTCGTTAAGTTCTACTTGTTTACAGCTTAAAAATGTGCACTACGATGAAAAGTAGAAGATACAAATAGCACAATAATAAATTTCCTTCTTTCACATTTTTAGTTTATTTCAAAACAACACAAAATATTCAAAATTTCTGAAAAACAGACGATAATTTAAATGAAATGAATAAAAATACATACACATATACTAAATTTAACAAATCAGTTTTTATATTAATTTCCTTTGCTACCAATTTCACGATCATAACTGTCATTATTATCATTTCATTTGTACGCCACAACCATAAAGTGGAGGCATAAATATGTTGTTATCGAATGCTCAATGAATGTGGTCCACCCAAATCTTCATCTCCGATCGCACACAAGTTTTCCACCACATTTCAAATGACGAACAGGTTGTTCAGGACGGCCTGGTCTAACGTAATTTGTGTTGAGCTTCCGTCTTGTGCCCTTTTCTTGTTTGCGATGAAAAGCAAATGCATTTTCATCCAGCGGCAACCAATCTCTTTCCCTTTCTAGTTGTGCATAATATTCGCGCATGCTATGCGATTTACTTTTGATGATTGATCGATCGTTTACCGATGATGGTATTGACATAAGAGGAAAGTTCTTATAATACTTTCGAAAGATCGCTGCATTTTGCTCGTCTTTCATTTTCTCAATCTGATACCTTTTATATTCGTACATTACGAGGCCGCCGTATGCGATAAAAAAGACAAGCTGTGAAGGAAAGGATGGATTAAATATGAACTAAATATAATTTATTTTTTTACTTTCAATCAATCTCACTTCAATTTCAAAATTATTTCTTACCAATGCTAGGAAGCTACTACATGCCATTATGCTTTCAAATACAATAGTTTATATGTGCACACGAACGGAAGGATAAAAACTTCTTGATATTGTTGTCGATTTTTGCTGGAACTTCCAAACAACAGTTATACGTTAAACGATACCAAAAAGGGTTTATGTATAATCAAGGCGAATTCAACAACAACTAGAAGTATGCATTTATCATTTTGCTGTTGTTTCCATTTTCCAGGTTAGACTGTTAAAAATTCCTGTGATTATTTTCTATGAAAAGGTGGTAGATTGACAGTGCTACATTCTTAAAGTTTTTGGGGAAAAGAGCTTAAGCGCTTTTCTATTTTTAAAACAACTCTTTTCATAAAATTCCTTTATTAATAAAATTTTAACTTTGACATTTTATATATGTGAAACAGTTCATTTAAATTACGGTCTTACAAATTTTTCATGCATTTCATTTCATGAAACGTATTCGTCGGTATTTTAGCCATAAAGATTTATCCGCATAAACACGGTCATACGGGTTATCCCACAAGAAAGTCCTATAATACAAAATCGCACAATCTCAGTAGCCAATTGAGATTACGCAGACGGGAATTTTCTCTCGTAATGAAACCATATTCCCTCGAGTGGCACCATCTTATTAAAACCACATATTGTCAAAGTAGTGTTCTTCAATAGCAAGCCAAGTCGGTTATCATACAATCATAACGCACCAAATTAACAGTGGCAGTCTCTGTGTTGTCGTTTTCAAAAATGTACGATCCAATCAAACACCGGAGCGTACCAGACAGTAATTTTTTTGGGTCTAATGATATCTATGCTCGGTGCGACATTTTCGCAAATTCACGTATACACAGAGAGAAACTTGTGCTTTATCGCTTAAGGAAACCACGAAATGAACAACTCAATACTAATTTAATGTTTAATTATATTTAATTAATTTTTCTATATTATTATTTTATAATAAATTCATTTAATTTCACTAATATTTTATTTTATATTTCACCACCCTTCTTTATTTATACATATTTTTATATCTAATATAATAATTATTTTAAAAAATATATTTTTACATTCTACAAAAAAATTTCTCTCATTTTATCGGTTCATTTCATTACTTTTTTTCATTTAATTTTGATGAAAAAAATTAATTTTATATATATGAATAAAAAATTAAAAATTATAAAATTTGTTGAATTTATGGCAACCCCGCAATGAAGTATTTTCGCTCTAAAAATCCTAAAGCGCTTTAGTTTGGCACCTAAATGTGTTGTGTTTTATATATAGTTTTAAATGAAGAAATATGGCAACGCTCTGCAAAATATTTTCACTTCAATATTTATTAACTCTCACGGTTTTTATAGCCATAATAAATACTTATAATATTTTTTCATATATTTTTTTGTTTTAAGAAAGTTTAACCAACGGCAACTCTCCTCTAAAATATCTATTTGCCATCTTAAGTTTTTAAAATCCTTTGAAAATGTTGGATAATTCAATAATATTAATATTTTATTGACTGTTTTTTTTAATCTTTACGTTTTTATTTAAATTTATTTATTATAAGTATTTTTTTATTTTATGTTTCACCACTAAATTATTTAAGTTTTATTTATTTATATATGCATGTATACCACAAAAATATTTTTTCAATTTATTTAATTTATATATCAAAACAGGTGGCAATTCTCCTTAAATATATTTTCAACAAAAAATATTTAAAAATTATTTTATTATACACTTTACCGTGATAGAATAACTATTTAAATGGAAATATATATGTTTTTTATGAATCATTTTAAGCTGGTGGCAACTCTATTTCTTATTCAGCTTTAATAACGATCGCATATTGGAATATTTTACTTTTTCTTTCTCAATTATCTGAAAGTTGGTAGCATAAATGAAAAAAATTTGTCCGAATAATTTTTTAATTGATATCCATATTGAAAACTAATTATACATATCTACAATATATGTATATTTTTTTTTAATGAAAAAGGTTAAACCAATTGGAACGATCGTAAAAAATATTTATCTCTGTAAGTCTTCCTAACTTTCTTCAGTTGTTATAATTCAATTATTTGAAAATGTTGCCTTTGGCTTTGTCAATCCCCTCTGAGTGTAAACAAATATTCAGCAATACGGCGGAAATTTTCAGTTCATATATATTTTCACGATTATAAAAGATTTCTTAATATTTTTGAACTAAATCGAAAGTAAATGTAGCATTTAGGAATGTTCCGTCTGCAGTCCATTACTTTTTTTACGGTCATACGGTAGGTATGGATTTGGCAACCCTAATTTAACCTTATAAGCCCAACTACCCGTTTTACTAACCTCCCAACCGTACCAACCGACAGGAAAAGGATATGCATACACGAGTTATGCTGCAACTACCCATCTAACATACCTTCCGTCCATAGCAACCTATCTTATGAGAGCGCTATGTAAACACAAAGTTGCTACAGCTTGTCCATGCCGTTACTGACGTTTGCTATACAAGGTTGCCAGTATTGACATTTTAAGTAAAATTAAATAATCGAAGATAATGCGTAGTTTTTTCAAAAGAAATGAAAACTAAATACGTAACTAATTATTTGTTACCATATAGATCATGTATATTTGTCTTGCGTTTATATTCGAGCAAAAAAATTATCAAATTCGTTGACGAAAATTATAAATTTGTTCAATAGTGTGCAAACACCCTGGCAGCTGGCTACATTTCGCCGCGCTCAGTAGTGTCGATAACTCGTGTATGTATCTCGCTGTTCAAATCGGCTGTTATGGACGGATGGTAAGTAAAATGGGTAGTTGCAGCATTAGGCAGCATTAGTCCTTTTACAGGTAGGAAGTTTAAAAATATCCTAATTTCTCTCTTTGCTCTTCCGCTAGATAAGACAATGCTGAGTGTGATCCAGACGAGCAGGTATAATTGCATACTTGTATGTACATAACCTGCCAAACTAGAAAGTTGCTACCTAGGGAAGTTTCCCAGACTACACTAGAAGTTTTGGTAATAAATAATAAATTCACTCTTTTACGGTATTTTTATTTTTTCTACACCATTCTTTATATTAAATCTTAAGAATATATATATAATCCTTATAATTATTTGCAGTAAATAATATTTTTATTTATTGTTTACTCAAAAGTGCACATGATCATGCGTACCTAACATTTCACATTCCATACCGGATATAAATTGAATATAATTACTCGAATATTCCTAAGGAGACAATTTCTTCGTAGTAAAGCTTCAGTCTCACGTAATCATCTATTCTCTCCAATTCACCTTCTGGCTGTGGTAAAATCCAAAAGCAAAAGTCCTCTTTCCGTTCCTTGATTAAAAACTCTTCGAATTGCACACGCATATGGTACATAATTAGTATAAACATTGCAATCACCCAAAACTGTAACATTAAAGAATTTTGAAGGTTTTTAAGTGAAAAAATTTTAATCCAGTACCACTACTACTGCCAACAATTAGTTTACCGTGTATAATATTTTTAAACACATTCTATAAGCCATTATGTGGAGGTTTGTACACATGTAGAAGGATTCACGATGTAAACTGGTGGAAGAATAAAAACTATTTGAAATTATCGCAGCAACTTGTGTTTATTTTTACCAAGTAAACATGCTATATACACATATATGTATATGTATATAGATGTGTACATATGTACATACCAGCAATTAAATTTCAGGATTACTTTAAAGACATGAGTAATGCTCTCTTTGGGTCTCATTGCCGAAGGATATTATTGGGTTGCCCAAAAAGTAATTGCGGATTTTTTAAAAGAAAGTAGTAGAATGAACTTTAATCAAATTTATAATTGCCATTTTGTTCGATAACCTTTTGCCATCTTCCTGGCAAATTTAGTATTCCAGCTCATAGAACTTCTGGCCTTTATCTGCAAAAAACTGAACCAAGTGCGATTTTATAGCCTCATCATTGCCGAAATTTTTACCATTTAAGGAGTTCTGCAAAGATCGAAATAAATGGTAGTCTGATGGTCCAAGGTCAGGACTATATGGTGGATGCATCAAAAGTTCCCAGCCAAGCTCACTCAGTTTTTGGCGAGTGACCAAAGATGTGTGCGGTCTAGCGTTGTCCTGGTGGAATATGACACCTTTACGATTGACCAATTCTGGTCGCTTCTCCTTGATGGCTATATTCAATTTGTCCAATTGTTGGCAGTAAACATCCGAATTAATCGTTTGGTTCCTTGGAAGCAGCTCAAAATATGCGACACCCTTCCAATCCCACCAAACAGACAGCATAACCTTCTTTTGGTGGATATCAGCCTTTGAAGTGGTTTGAGCTGGCTCACCATACTTGGACCATGATCGTTTTCGACTAACGTTGTTGTAAACATTTTTCATCTCCAGTTACGATTTGTTTTAAAAACGCATCGAATTCATTGCGTTTAAGGTGCATATCACAAGCGTTGATTCGGTGTGTTAAATGAATTTCTTTCAATACATGCGGTATCCAAATATCAAGCTTTTTCTCCAGTCCAAGACTTTTTATGTGATAATGAACGGTTGATTTTGGTATATTTAACTTCTCTCCTATCTCATGCTCAGTTACTTGACGATCCAATTCGATTAATGCTTTGATTTGGTCATCATCAACTTCATTTGGCCGACCTGAACGTGGCTCATCTTTAAGTGAAAAATCTCCTGAACGGATTTTGCGAAATCAATTTTGACACTGTCTTCCTTTTAAGGCTTCATCACCATACACATCTCGTAACTTTTTAGCAACCTGCTCCGCGTTTGTTCCTTTACGGAAATAATAAAGTAAAATATGACGAAAATGCTCCTTTGTGGGCTCCATATTAAAATTGACGCCAAACAAACAAATGTAAACAAAATTTCGCGCACTTTTTTTCTAAAGCAAGCTAAAAGTAACAGCTGATAACTGACAGAAGAAAGAATGCAATTACAGAGTCACAAGCTGTTGAAAAAATTTGTCAACGCCGACTATATGAAAAACCCGCAATTACTTTTTGGGCAACCCAATAGAAGTGAAACTTACTCAATTGTAGATGAGAGCATTAGCTCATCTCACCAGTGTTGGCAGAATTTTTACAGAGAATGGGCTAGATGGATTCAAAAAAATGCTCTTCTTTTAATAGCAAACTAGAATCTTCATATACCTAAATAAATTAATGTAATGCGTAAGTTTCTAAAATTACTAAAAGAAATTTTTCCAATTACAATGTGTTAAAAAAAAGTATGGAAGTTACGATATAAATATGTATTCGAAGATAATAACATAAGTTTTGGAACTTTCTTCATTGAGGTTCTGGTGCATCAACTTGCCTTGCTTATCTATTGAATAACTAATAAATGTTAAATATTTAATTCGTTCTCTTATATGTCCAAAAATAAAATTTTTACTAGCCTTTCCATCCATTTGATCTTCCCCAAGTTTCTAGCAAATAAAACTCCTTAAGTGTTTAATATCATGTTCACACCGATATCGAAAACACTTGGAAAGCGAGATTGGTGGTTTGTGGGCTCCAATATCCTTGCAACGACTTTAAGTGTTTTGATTGACATATCTGGTAGCTTTTAAAGTGTTAGGGCAGAGGTCCTTCATAATAATCGCTAACGAACTTTCAAGTACAGAAATTCGCTCACATTCCGTGGTAAAGAATGCTTTGAAGCGTCAAATGTGCAGAAATCAATTGGAGCGTGAGTTTGCAAGTGTCACATTTAACAGCTGCTGCGCAAAAGCCCACAATACCACGCCTTAAATCAAGTTCTTAAGTCCTTAGTCCGCTTGCAACAAGTCCAACGCCCGCTCGCAGCCGTCCTCCCTTTTTCATGGCAACATTTCAGATCATCTTGTTTTGAAAAGTACTGGTCAAATTTTTTTTCTCCGAAAAACAGTATAGTTTTATCCAAGCTATTTTACTGTTTGGTCTATGATATTGAAAGCTTCATATTATGGGTATTCAGGCCGAACTTGTTAATCTAGTAATTCGTTGGTTTTTTCTTCGGAAAATCACTTAACCGTGAACAGACTTTTTACTCGATCTCGTTAGTGTGATATGCCCTATTCCAAAACAATTTTATGAAGAATAAATCTACCATGAAAAATTTTATTCAAAAATTTTTTTAAAATAAACAAATAACAACAAAGCAAAAGACGCAGCAAATTTGAATGTTACTAAGTAACGAAGAACTTACCTTATAAGACTGGTACTTCATTTTTCTATAGAACGACTAGAAAACTTCCGAATAACGACTAACGAATTGGCAAATTCGGTCTGAGTGCCTCTATGTCTAAAGTGTTTCCAAATATTAAATTTTTGAAACAAATCTAAAATGTCTCCACATGTAGCTAACTTTAATAGATCCCTATACCATATTCAAATCTACACAATTTTCCAAATGTTTAGTGAACGCCATGTTTAGGTGAGATAATAATGTTGTTTTTTTTTTGTTGCAACAGATTTGGTAGGCATTTTTGTATTTCAAGATTTTCTAGAATGGCAACACTGCTTAAAATGTGCAATTTCAAAAGACTTCTCTCTTTTTTTTTTTGCTTTTGTATTGAAGAGAGTTGCACCATTCATTATGAAAATCTTTTAAAAACATTTTGTTCTACTATATCATCTTATGCTGCAACTACCCATCTTACTTACCGCACAGTCATAACACCCGACTGTAGTAGAATATACAAGCACGAGTATTTCTGCGGGACAACCGTCAGTAACGGCACCGACAAGCGGTGACAACTTTATATTCACTTGCCGCTCTCATAAGATAGGTTGCTATGGACGGAAGGTATATAAGATGGGTAGTTGTAGCATTAAACACTTCAAGAAACGTGTAAAGAATAATGGTTATTGCTAACAGAATTTCTCCCACGCTCTCTTTTAGTTTTTGTTTTATGTTACAACTAGCCAAAAACCTACTTATGAGAGCGTGAAAATGAAAAGTTATCACCTTGACTATGACCATACCGACGTTTGTCCCTGAAAAACCAGTGGCGATTTGATTTTTCACGTAAAACAGTCTCAGCTGATTGATCACTGTTATATAAAGCTGACAGTATTGAATTTTTTTCAACGAACTTTAAATGAACTAAGAAAATGTACATTTTTTGCAAAATAAATAAAAACCGAGTTCGTAATTAATGATTTATTACCATATAGATCATAAATATTTCATTGCCGTTTATATTCGAATATACCTAGTAATTATGAAATTCGTTTACAAAAATTATAAATTTATTTAAAAGTATGCCAGCGCACTAGCATTTCGCTGCTGCAATGCAACATAACTCGTGTATGCATATCCCGCTTCCAGTCAAGAGAAACGACTGGGAGGAACGTAAAATGGCTAATTCGGCTATTGAGGGATGTTTCTAAGAATTTCCCTCTCTCACATCACGTCTCGTTTGAAAAGAGATAAACTCTTCTAGTCTTTATGTTAAAGAGAGAGTTTCCATTTAAACCAGGTGCTAAGTGCGATCCACACGAGCCTGCCTATGCCTGCGTATACAATCAGAGCCGTTCTTTGTTCGAATAAGTACATACATACCTATAAGTGTGTACAATATGCCAAATCCTCAATTTGCTTTCAGGCAGTGCGAATTTTACATTAGCAGGCCTATTTTGTCGAGGTAACAAAATTTACTTTGATATTGAAATTTACCATTCAGTAAATTTTGTTACCATTTCGTATTCTGAGCTCACTGTCACCCTGTAAATTTTGTTACCAGCGAAATAAGAGGTAACAAAAATATCTACTGTTTGATTTCGTGTTGTAAGTATGAGAAAAAATAAAAAACCAAAATGCGTAGGCATATTTTAGGCCTGGACTTCATTGAGGATGAAGAAAAAAAGTGCAAAAAGCCGTATTTTAAGAAGTTTTCGAGACTAAAAAATAGCCCTTTAATTTGTAAGATAACGTCTTTATTCAGCTTTTTTTGTTGTCCAGGCATATTTTCCATAATTAGGTTCAAATATTCATGATTTAATAAACAAATTACTAAAACTTTTTAATTTTTTTGTGCACCGTCTTCCATTTCAATATGAATATTTTTCTTTTTACTTTATCAACTGGCAAATGTAATTCGACATGGACGAAAAAAGCAGTGCTGCCAAAATTTTTTCCAAACATTGTGACCAGTTCGCCAGAATACCAAATTCAATTTCGGGTGTTAAAAAAAGTAATAAAATTTACTTTACCGGTACAGTGAGAGGCGTGAAAGAAAAAAAGAGTTTTACTTTTTCAGCTTACATATTTATCACATTTTTTTCACATAATATTCTTTCAAACTTCATGAAAATAATATAAATGCATACAACATATTTAAACAATTGAAGTCATATTATTTCACTTTATTGTTGTATCTAAGATGATAATGATCATGTGTCTATATTTTTAAGCTCTATATGCCGCTCCGCTTTAGTTTATTCACATTATTCTATCGTGCTGGCCTCTAGTTCTTCATTTACTGAAGTCAAACAGCTGGTTTCAAATGACGAGCGGGTTGATGCAAACGTCCTGGTATTTCATGATTCATGTTAAACCTCCTTCTCGCGCCTTTAGATTGATGAAGCTCTATTATGGCGTTATAATATTTCATTGTCTTGATACGTAATGCTTCATCTCTGTCTTTATTTGGGTTATGGTCAAACCAAAAGTCAATGTCTTTTCTTCCTTCTTTGATTAGAGCTCTTTCAAAGTCCACACGCATAAAAAATACAACGATGAAATAAACAATAAGTACCATAATCTGTAAAAAAAAATTAGTTTTGCAATTTTTAATGAAATATTCTTATACTTGCCACATATATGTTTCACCACATAACTTACCAAATATATCTTTTTTATGCAATCTGAGGCAGGCATCGTGTGAAAATTTGTAGAAGGATTCACGATGTAAACTGGCTGAAGGATAATAACTATTTGAAGTTGTTGCAGCCAGTAAACGAAAACTAAAGTAAACTAAATAAACATCAAGCTATATACTTATATACATATGTATGTATGTATACGATATTCATAAATACTATATATGCATTTTCAGCATTTTCCTTTGGTATGAAGATTCTTCTTTTCATAAGAGTATAGAATTTCGTATGACTTCCCTTTTTCCGCTCTGGCGTGAGAGCGAATTTGCATCAGCATTAGTTTATCTACATAAATATGTAGATGTATATGAAGATTCTCTCTTCAGCTCTCATTATCTATCCCGCACCGCATATTATTGTGGTTGATCCCAAGTTTGCGAGAAATGCAGTCAGTTTTCTTTCTACTGGTTATCAGTTTTTCGGCAGTGACATAAGTATCTTGTTCGTATTGTGGCGAAACATTCAGCCACCGGCGTGAATATCCGTATTTGGCTGCGGAAGCTCTCTGCCATCACGACTTAGATGCGACATATGTACAGTGAGACTTCTCATAAGCATGCACCAACGGAACCAGATTTTTCGCCAATTTAATAGAGGTGCTCGTTTCCTAGAGGTGAATTTGCTTGGAAAAAAGCTTAAGCTACTTTAAAAAGTGGCCGCTTGTTAGAGAAAAAAACACGTTTTCCCTAATCTAAACAATGCTAAAAACGGCCAAAATTTTTCCTTTAAAAACCTAAGAAATAAAACTCCAAAGCTAAACTACAAATTTCTAGCTAAACGACAGAAAAGCAGCTTATTCTAGCTGGAAAAATGCAGTGCGAATTTTTACACTCAGAGAAAAAAGAGTTTCACTATTTCAACTTACATATTTATCATATTTTTTTTCATATAATTTTTCTTAAAACTTCTTTAAATTAATATAAATACATACAATATATTTAAATAATTGAAGTCATATTATTCCACTTTATTGTTGTATCTAAAATGATAATAATCATGTGTTTATATTATTAAACTCTATACGTCGATCCGTTTCAGTTGATTCACATTATTCTTGGGGTTCAGTTGATTCACATTATTCACATCCATCATTTACTGAAATCAAACATCGGGTTCCCAATGACGAGCTGGCTGATGAAAGCGACCAGGTATTTCATAATTCGTGCGAAATCTCTTTCTCGGGGATTCAGGTAGATGAAATCTTGGTTTTGGATCATAACTTTTTTTCATCGCTTCATGTATTTGGGTCATGTAATCGATCTCATCTTCATCACTTTCTTTATTCGAGTTATGGTCAAACCAAAAGTCAATGTCTTTTCTTCCTTCTTTGATTAGAGCTCTTTCAAAATCCACACGCATCAAAAATACAACGATGAAATAAACAATAAGTACCATAATCTGTAAAAAAAAATGAGTTTTGCAATTTTTAATGAAATATTCCTATACTCGTCACATATATGTTTCACCACTTATCTTACCAAATATATCTTTTTTATGCAATCTGAGGCAGGCATCGTGTGAAAATTTGTGGAAGGATTCACGATGTAAACTGGCTGAAGGATAATAACTATTTGAAGTTGTTGTAGCAAGTAAACTGAAACTAAAGTAAACTAAATACACATCAAACTATATACACATCTAAATATGTATGTATGTACATAATCGTATACATTCATAAATACTATATATGCATTTTCAGGATTTTCCTTTGATATGAGAATTGCTCTTTTCATTAGAGTTTCGTTGGACTTCCCTTCTTCAGCTCTGGCATGAGAGCGAATTTGTATCAATATTAGTTTATCTACATACATATACATATGTATATGAAGATTCTCTCCTTTCCGCTCTCGGCATCTATCGCACACCACATGTCATTGTGGTCGATCCCAAGTTTGCAGTTTGTTTTCTCTCCACTGCAGTTCGACATTCCTCATCGTACGCTGGACTGGTTATCAGTTTTTCGAGAGTGAAGTTGATTGATAAATTTCATATTTTATGTTGAAAAAATTTCACTTTGATCCGTATTGTGGCGAAACATTAATCCACCGGTGGGAATCCCAGTACTTGGCGACGGAAACTCTCTGCTCGACATATGTGCAGTGGGACTTTCCATAAGCAGGTACCAACGGGATTAAACAGAGGTGCCCGCTTATGAAAGGTGAATTTGTATAAGAAAAAGTTGAAGCTACCTTAAAAAGTGCCCATGCGGAGGGGAGATGCTACGTAATTCTTCCACTCTCTTTATCTGTTACATTATAGAGGGTGGAATATTTTCGCTCTGACGCTAAAGAGAGTTGAAAAAAAACAACCAAACCTAAATGACAGCCACTCCAGCTGATAAGTGAAGCCGCTCTTTGCAAGCCTGCAAGTTGTTATTAAAGTCTTCCTGACTATTTTCCCTGAAACTTCATTAAAAAAATTTACAACGCAATTATATTTTTACCGCAAATTTATTTCACTTTAATCTTGCCACTAAAGTTTTCGTGATCATGCGTATATATCATTGAACACTCCAAGTCGAGGCAGATTGGCAATTAATACGAATATACTGGTCCAAATGTAATTTGGTTTCTGCATTTTATGTCCTTCACCGTAAACCGGCCATTCAGTATTTGCAGCCATGTACTGCATTCTAATAGCGGGCTCCAAATGACGAGCAGGTTGAGGCATACGTCCGGGTCTTATATAATTCGTGTTAAGGTTCCTTCTCTTCCCTGTACCTTGTCTTTTATAAAACGCTAATACCTTGTAGTATTGCTCGAGTTCCGGGTTCTTTGTTGGTGGTGCCTGACTGGGCGGTACGTACGGCTGGTCGTAAAACCAATAATGAAGGTCTTTTCTCCCTTGCTTCATTTGCAAACTTTCATATTCGAAACGCATATGCAATACCAGGACCAGGTATAGACCAAAAATCATAAACTATAATGGAAGTGAATTTTAAAGGTTTTTAATTAAAATATTGTAATATTATTGTACTCGTATTAAATACTATTTCTATTAATTGTTGAAAACTTACGAAGCAGAATCTTTCCCAGCATTTTCGGGAACACATTGTGTAGAAATGGAATGATAAACCATGCACACAAGACGAAGAAATGAAACTATTTAAAATTGGCGTAGCGTCTTGCATGTATTTGATGTGGATATGAACACATACATGCATAGAAATATAAATATACATACATACGATTTGTTTTCAGCTCTCTTTACAAACATATAGTGGAGCAGTGTTGGCATAGAATTTCGAAGGATTTCTCTTTTTTTTTTGCTCTTCCATCAATATTGCTTTAACTACATACAATACATACACAATACCTGTATGTTTATACAGATATAAAGGTTTTAGTGGAATTGAGTCAGAGCTGCTTACCTGTGGGTACGGCAACATGTATGCGTGGAAATTTACAATAATATGCATGAGTATGTATTTGTAAGAAAAACTATAGAAGATAGAAATGTTAAGCATTTTGTGTACATATGCTTATACATACCTAAGTACATTCATAGTTATGCGTCAGGCAAACGTCGCGTTGTTTTGTATATTTACGTGTGTTATTTGTATACATACATACGTGTATGTGTGTGCATTTTGCCTATTCAAAAACCAAAACCTCTAATGCTTTCCCCTCCCCAAAAACAACATTAAAAATCATTATATTTGAAAAATTTTGAGGCAAATTTTTGACCAAAATTTTTTGAAATATGAAATATTAGGTTTGTTTATAGAAATAGAAATCATAGTAGAGCAGATCAAGTTCGAGCAGAACAAAGCAGCTGCCAAAAAAGACAATAGAGCAAGTTAGAGCAACTCGAATCAATTAATCTCTTAAAACACTTTTCGGCAAAAAATTGTTAATAAATTAAAAAAAATGTCTTGCTTGCTCTGAGTTACTCCAGAAGGAGGATTTCAATAAAGTCTTGTCCAATGGGATGGTAAGATTAAAAGTTGACATCGCAAACGAGTGCGATGGACGATACAAGGACGAAAGCAGGCGAGTCCTTGTGAGATTATGCATTTGAAGTTGGAATTGTGGTGGAAGAGAGGCTCCATCGTGGAGTACTGGCATTTACTCCGCTGGATGAACGTCGAGCCACAATCCGCATCAAAGCGAAAGCAGGTATCTTCGGCACGACTGTCGGAAATTTCAGCCTCCACAAGGAAACATCACCAAATGTGTTAAGGCTGGTCGACTTCGCCGTAGCCCGAAATGTGGTTGTTTGTAGTACTATATGCCACCACCAGAAAATTCACGGAACGGTCTTTTTTCTCGACTTTCACACCTGATTTCTTAAAGCACTCATAAGCAACTGAATATAAAGAAAAATCGTTGGGACGATAAAAGACGTCGAACGGCAGTGGAGAGAAAACAGAGAGCCTACCACGCAACGTTGCGAGCGATCGTAACACGTGCAGATAGACGTGGAAGCAAGAGGCAGTTTTAAACAAAAACGGAAAGACGCCGAAATGCATGAATATTAGGAGCCTGAGAATGTGGTCGACAAGAGTAATGCTCAAAAACTCTATAATGCGATTCTGTGACTCTTAGAAGATTTCAAGCCCGGAGCATACTCATGTAGGCACCAATGTGATAATCTGGTTACACATGTCCAGAGCATGCTTGCTTTATGGAGTAAACATTTCTCAAGTCTGCTTAATTTCAGTGGAACCCCAACCTCAATCGATGATAATGAATAAGACTTTCCATTACCCTACTGCTGCTGGAGCTGATGGCTTACCTGTAAATCTACTCAAGAAGGACTACGAAGGGCTGAAAGTTTGTCACATCAGCTTTTTGCAAAATATGGTCGGATGAAAGCAGTCCCGACGATTGGAACCTAAATGTGCTCTGCCCAATCCACAAAAAAGGCGATCCCATGGTCTGTGCCAATAACCAACCCTAGCCTTCTGAATACCGCATATAAGATCCTATCAAAAATATTGCGTGAAAGATCAAAACCCACCCTCATTAACTAATTTTACCTTTAGAAATGATAAAATGACCAGATGTTCACCACCCCTCAAATCTTCGAAAGGATCCGTGAAAAAAGATTGGCATACATCACCTCTTCGTCGATTTTAAAGCTGCCTCTACGCTGCTATGTTTGAATTTGGTATTCCTGCAAAACTTTTACGACTGCGTAAACTAACCCTGGACAACACCTGTTGCGCAGTTAGAGATGGGAAGACCCTCTCTAAAACGACGAGACAAGATCGTACAAGAGCAGCGCACAACGAACACATTGATATCACAGGCCTTTACAGTCGCGCTGATAGCTCTGCTTTCTCCAGGTCAGACAAAGAAACGAAGCGAAAGGGTTTTTATAGTGAACAAAGACAAGGCAAATTATCTTCTGCTATTAAACCAACATTTAACGCACTCGTATCTAGGCTCCCGCTTGATTTTTGATGGTCATAGATAATTTCATCTATCTCGGAATCAACATCAACACCAGCAACCATTTCAATATTGAAAACCAACACAGAATCAACACGCAAACTGGAGCTTCTTTGGACTGTGTATATAATTGAAATGAAAATATCCTCTCTCTATGAAAAAAACTGAATTCCACAAGATATGATGAAATGTGATATAGAAGCGTGGACGATATCCATATTCGATGAGTCGGAACTGGGAGTAATTTTAATTTTTTCGCAATCTTTTTATAATATTTATTTTAAAAAACTACTTTTACATAAAATTATTGTTATTTATTTCTATTTAAACAAAAGGCAAATAGTAAAATTTACAGTTGTTTAGTAGATAACTATGTACATTACATTATTAAACCTTAGAAAATTCTAAATCACCTTCTACTTCCAGACATTGGCCACCTGACATATAAACATTAGTTATTGATTTATTATTGCCGATTAGGCATCCTTCATGGAGCATCCCTGTCTATGAATCTATACACATATCTTTCGTATACCGCATTGACATATATGTTGATAATTAAAAGCTGTAAAGAAAATGAGTAAAAGATTTTTATTTAAAAATATATGCATGGGTATGTATTTAAATATGTATTTAAATAATTTTAAAGTTATCTTACCATACACATCATCGCACAAACATACAACATTACTTCTGTGTACATTCTGGTGGAGGGATAAAAACAATCTGAGATCAAACTTCTTGTACTATTTCAGTCAGACTGGAAATTTTGCGTCTATTTTGATATTTTTCACATGTGCTGATAGAGGGAACAAATACATATGTGAAAAGATAAGTAAGGTACCTGCGCAAAATTTGACCTGAATGACTTGAATATGTACCTATATCCAAAGCAATTTTATGTAAATTGCTATTCAGTGAATTTTTGTAAATAGAACTCGCGAAAATAAAGTGTACTGATATTCACATCTCTTTCTAGGCTTATGAATATGACGATCTATAGCAGCTCTCTTCCGAGAAAGAAACAACATTTGTCTTTATTCTCAGTTTAATAGCTTATTTCGATATTAGTTTTAGCAGGCCTATTTTGTCGAGGTAACAAAATTTACATAGGCATTAAAATTTACCTTTCAGTAAATTTTGTTACCATTTCGTATTCTGAGCTCACTGTTACCCTGTAAATTTTGTTACCAGCGAAATAAGAGGTAACAAAAANCAATTTCGGGTGTTAAAAAAAGTAACAAAATTTACTTTACCGGCAACAGTGAGACATAGAACCGCAAAGACTTTTCAATATTTGATGTGAAAACAATTATTTTCATAATAAAAAAAAAAAATAGTGTACAATAATATAAAAGCAAATATTTTTTTAAAAATTAATTTAATTATTATAATATTTATACATTCCTGAATTTGTTTATTTATACTTTTATTTATACATATTTGCATTTGTTTATTTCTATTTTTATTTATTATTTTTTATTTATTCAAATTTTATTTATTTACTTAAATTAAATAATTTTTTTCGCAACAATCAAAATTTATGAAATGAGGAAAAATAACTATCTATTATTTATTTTAATTTTAATATTTTTTTTATTTGTTTTTTATTTTTTAAGTTAAATCAATTTTATTTAATATTTTCTAATTGTTACATTACAAATTTTAATATAAGGAAATATAATTATTTACATATTTTAATAGTTACTTTTTAATTATTTAATGTTTTAATTTTTATTTATTGATTAATTACTCACATGTATGTATTCATTTATTTTTTCATATCGAAAATAATTTAAAATATATTGAAAATAATTACTTTATAATTTCTTATATTTTCACTATTTAATTTTTTGCTTATTTATATTTTGGTTTTTATTTATTTGTTACTTAGATAATAATAATAAATAATCTTTATTTATTGTTTATTATTTATTATTATTTATTTATTTATTTATACTAGTCGTTGCATGCCGCACTGAAGCCTCAGCGTATCCCTAATAGAATATTTCCCGTAAAAAGTCCCATAATTATAGATATTTCCGTTATTTTAAACGAGATAAGCTCCCGTGACCTTCTTTGATGCCATGTTAGTCCTCTTATACTTGCACCATAGTAACCATGGAGAGCTTGTGATGAATCCCGATACGTTACTGTTTCAGGCCTCCACGCTAAATTAAAAGGTAATTAGTTAGCCTTCGTAATAAATGATTTGCGCCAATACCCCGCTGTTTCTGATTTTATTTTTATAGCTTCCAACGCTCTTAAGGCTATACGAAAAGATATAGATATCACGATAATGAGAGTATCATGAAACGCTATGCGATCCGATAGATTGATGGGACATGAAATACCAAGCTTTTTTGAAAATATTTCACCATGGAAACTTTTATTTAGTTTCAAACATTTTTAAAATTAATCGAGTCTGCATTATCCACCAATTAATCCTCTTTCGAGGATCCAAAAAATATATATATAATAGTATATACATTATACAAAGATCTTTTCATACTTATCCGTCTACAAATAGTTCGTATGCATGCATGTATGTATGTATGTACATTTGTGCATGTTTTGAGTGAGTACCTGTAGTTGTAACATGTAAACATTTGGCAGAAATTTTAATTTTAATTTGGAACAATATATATATGTACACTGTAACAGCAAGCAAATTAAAATAAAATAGAATGAAATAAGACAAAATAAAATTATATAAAATAGAATAAATTAAAAAAATAAAATTATATGAAATAAAATAAATACAAATTAATTAAAATAAAGCAGCTTAAATTAAATACAATAAAATAAATAAATAATCGAAACTAAAAAAAATTAATTAAAATAAAACAAATTAAAATAAAATAAGACAAATAGAATATGATAAAACGATAAATAAATTAAAATAAACTCATTTAAATTAAAACAATATAAAACAATATGAATTTATATTATTCATTTGAAATAAAAAAAAAATATTAAAATAAAATAATTTAAATTAATAAAATAATATATAAAATTGTATGAAATAAGTTAATTAATTATAAAATAAAATACAGCAACTCAAATTAAATGCAATAAATTAAATAAAACAATCGAAATTAAAAAAAAAAATAATTAAAAGGAAAAAATAAAACTAATTAAAATAAAATAAAATAGAACAGAATGGAATAAGACAAAACAAAGTCAAATAAAATAAAATAAAACAAAATAAATTAAATTGAAAAGTTTGCCAGCTTGAGGTCAGAATAAATTAAAACAATAGAAAGTTTATATTTTCCCGGTATATTTCGATTACAAATCGGTAACCGTCTTTAGAGGACAATTTATTATTACACGTCGTAACCGAGTGACTTGGAGTTTTGTACAGTTAAAAAAAGGAAGGTCGCTAAAACCTTTAGTAAAAAATTAATTATAATAAAAAAATATAAAATGAATTTAAATAAAATAATATCAAATAAAATAAAATAAAATAAAATAAAATAAATTAAAAAAAAATAAAATAAAATAAAATAAAATAAAATGAAATGAAATGAAATAAAATAAAATAAAATAAAATAAAATAAAATAAAATAAAATAAAATAAAATAAAATAAAATAAAATAAAATAAAATAAAATAAAATTAAATTAAATTAAATGGCATGTCATAAGTTAAACAGATAAAAATGATACTAAATTAAATAATCTTAAAGAACCAAAAAATAAACAATAAAACAAATATAACCAAAAATATATATAAACCAAATAATATGAAATATATAAAATAAAATAAACTATTGAATTAAAATAATAAGATGAAATGAAATAAATAACATATAAAAATTAAAAAAAAAAAATTAAGTTTAAAAATAACTAAAATAAAACTAAGTAAATAAAATAAAATTATTTAATATCAAAAACGAATAAACTAAAAATATGAAACGAAACACATTAACTAAAAAAATACAATAAAAATATTAAAGACGTATTAAGTAAAATAATGTAAGATAACATAAAATCAAAACAAAATCAAATTAAATAAGGTAAAATAAAACAAATTAATATATTTAAAAGCAAAATTAAAATAAAAACAAAGATAAAACTGTGGCAAATAAAATAAATTAAATTAAAATGAAAAAAGTTAGTAAAGTGAAATTAAAAGTAAAAGAAAAAACCGAAATAAAATAAAGTAAAATAAATAAATATAGTGAGTAAAAAGAAAAAAAGCTAGGAAGGCCAAGTTCAGGTGAAACAGAACATTATTTTTATTAAGCCCACAAATGCTCCTCTTGTGTGAAAGATAGATCTATTTTTGGAGCATTTTCAGTAGGATTTTAGGTGGTGGCGAGCGGTTAGCAGTGCGTACTGCCATGCGGAGGATCATAAGCTTGAACATAGATCAGAATTAATATCTATCATTATGGAAAATTAATTTGAGAAGGCGAAGAGATAGACTCATCAAAATTTGTATTGATCGGGTGACGAGTGACGAGTTGAGTTGCGTTAGCCATATCCGCCGAGCATAAAAGTCTTGACCTTAATTGGTGATTATAATATGTGCAGTAGATCTTTTGTACAATAAACAGGCATATTTCTTAGGATGTAAGTTGAATTTTTTATTACCCATTCAAATCTTAAAAATCTATCATCTAATACATATAAAATCGTGGTATAAAAGTGTTTTAGTTTTTAAACTTGTCAATTAATTTTTTTTATAAAATATAAAAATGTCATATCTAAAAATTCTGTTGGTTTCTCAACCAGAATGGCTTGAACTCCATGAACTGGAACTGGAGTGTGCAAAAGCACCGCCGCCATTACCATGATTGAGACCGTAATTTCCGTTCTGTTGACTCCACGAAGAGGCTGACGATGAAGATGCAGCCGCAGCAGCTGATGCAGCCGAATTATCAAACACTTCACCAGCATAGGCAGATGGAGCATACGAATTATATTGAACGCCTCCACCAAAATTATTCGCTACAGCAACTGGTGGTGGACCAAACACAGCTGGATGACCACCTTGGGTCAGAGATACATGCTGCTGATGGCCACTAATTGCTGCATTATTGTGCGCTTCATTCTGCCATAAATTGGCTGATGAGGAGTAGGAGTGGGTGTTAGTCGCACTGGATGCTTCAGCGGTATTTACTACTTGCTGATGGTAATTCATATTTGCAGGAACAGTTTGAATTTGTTGCGAACTCAGACCATCTGTATTGAACATATGACTAAAGCGACCAGCTTGTGCTCCTTGTCCTGCATATGCATGAGTATTGGAAGAAGCCACAGATGCGCCGTGCATTTGCAATGAAGGATTATGTGAAGTTTCCATGTAGACTTGTTGTACTGGAGGCATTACGGGCACCTGTTGCACGGTATGTACACCGTTGTAGGTTACGCCACAGTGCGTGCAGTCGGTGTTGATGCCAAACATGCGTTCCTTGATTTTATGCAGCAATTTCGGTGTCACGATTGGCAAAGGATTGGCGCAAACGAGAGTGAACGTAAGGGAAAATAGAATTAACTGTAAAATAGAAAGTTTTTAGGTTAGATAAGTTAATGAAAATTTCATGGGCAATATTTTCTTACCAAACGCATTTTTTTTTTTTTTGCTGAATTTAATCTCTCCGCTGTACTGAAAAAACCTTCTGCTCTGTATGAAGTAAGAATTCTTTTTAAGCGATGTCTTGACTATTTTTTTTTTTTTGCCTCTATACCAAGAGAAAAATTCGACAGGTATAAAAGGAACTTTATCACAAAACTATTAAACCTGAATTTAATATAAACAAAATTATACTCTTAATTTTTTATACCTAACAAGATCTTAGGGTTTCTCTGAGTACGCCTACTACTGGCTAGTATGTACATAAGAGAGGGAGTGATAAGAGTATTCAAACTCAACCCACTAGGCTCTCTAAAGTATGTGTCACGCGCAGCGTTGCCGTTTCGAACCAAAGTTGATAGTTTCAATCGTCTTTGAGATTTTGATTGGTAGGCAGAAGGTTATTTTAGGATTTTTTTTACGTACATAAGTATGTATGTGGGCTTAAAAATCTGGTTTAATTGCTTTCACCGCTTTGTAAAAACAGTGGGTTCAAATCAATTTCATTTTTTTACTTTTCCGTTGCTTCTGGATGACGAAAAAAATCCTTTCAAGCGAAATGATCATTTGAAAAAGGAGTACAGAGTTCCGCTTCATCAGAAACAACAACAAAACGTTGGCTTTCTGACTCCAACAGGGTTATTCTGGCGAGGTAACAAAATTTACTTTGGTATTAAAACTTACCATTCAATAAATTTTGTTACTATTTCGTATTCTGAGCTCACTGTCACCCTGTAAATTTTGTTACCCGCGAAATAAGAGGTAACAAAAAATCTACTCTTTGATTTTGTGTTGTATGTTTGAGAAAAAATAAAAACCAAAATGGGTAGGCATATTTTAGGCCTGGAATTCATTGAAAATGAAGAGAAAAGTGGAAAAAGGCGCGTTTTCATCCAAGTTTTTTTGTCGCGTAAGCATATTTTCCAAAATCAGGTTCAAATATTTATGATTTAATAAACAAATTCCAATTCCATTTCGATGTGAATATTTTTCTTTTTCACTATAACAGCTGGCAAATGTAATTTGACAAGGACGAAAAAAACAGTGCTCCCCAAGTTTTTCTAAACATTGTAACCAGTTCGGCAGAATACCAAATTCTATTTCGGGTCTTAAAAAAAGTAACAAAATTTACTTTACCGGTAACAGTGAGAATAGGCCTGCAAAAGTGGCTATAGAGGCACAAATGATTCAGTATGCCGTTGACAATCAAATAAGGATATAATACCAGAAAACAGATGAGAAATTACAAATTCCTTTTTTGTGAACGAAAAATGGAGTTTCATGAATTAGCTGAAATTCTAAAGATACCAAAAAAAACTCTGAACGCACAACAATCGGCTGGAAAGTTATTTTAGTCTAGTTATTTTGATTTCGGCATCTACGTGGCTTTATCTTATCGACTATCTTGAGAAGAAAAGTATCATCGACAGTGCATATTACACAACTTCATTGTGTGCTTGAAGAAACGACCGCATGCGACAAAGAAAAAATGCTGTTTCATCGAGATAAAACACCGAGTCGATTCAAATAAAAGCAACACCAATTCAACTTCGAACTGCGCTCACATGTACCGTATTCGATAACATCGACTTCTGTCTGCTTGCAGACCTAAAATTTTTCCTTCGTTCTACGAAGTTTATCTAAATGTACATATATATATTTTTTTAATGTGAAATAAAATAAAATAAAATATTTTGATCATAAACAAATTTGGAAATTTTCCAACAGATTTGATAGGCATTTTGTCACTTACAGATTTCCTTTGTGGCAACATTGTCTACGCATACAAAAACATTTTTTTTATGAGAGTATTTTGGCTGCTTTTACGATTCGAGTACCTGCGGGTGAATCACTACATACATAGACGAACCTTAAGAGCGAGTTTTCCTTTTAGTGTTAGGAAAGGAAAGCCTAAGCAAAGCAGGCAAGAGAATGTGGAAAATATGTTGGTGCTCGTATTTGTATACCCTTCCACAGCAACAGGTAGAAAAGGCTAAACTAAAATTTTTCCAAAGTTCCAAATTTGGCTTTTAAACACAAATTACTTCACTTAAATATTGAGATTATTTTTATCGTTATTACCCATTAAATTGAGAAAATCCACTAGAGGAGATTAAGAAATTTATATATTTTAAACGTAAATAAATAACCTAAAAGGTGCATTTTTCTATTTAATAACAATTTAAAGTCAAATGGCGGCCGCAATAGCCGAGTGGTAAGCATTGCATCGGGAATGTCAGCACCTCCGAGTGTATTTCTGACATGAAATAAAAGCTCCTTATAAAAACCCATCGGCCGTTCGGAGACGGGTCTCTCTATTTGTTGGGAATAATATCAAGACGCAAAACCACAAATTTGAGGAGGAGCTAAGCCGAAAATCGCTTCAGCGGTTACAAAGCGGCTATTATATAAATATATATATATTATACATACATACATACAATACATACAATGTTTAAAAAAATTATTAAGAAGCGTCTTTCTAATCTGCTCGGCGTTACTGAACTTGTTATTTGGAAAATACGGTAGAAGTTCAATTTTCTTTTTTTTTTTTTTTTGATCATCTGAAGTGAGAAACATTCTTTTAGACTTTCAAAAACTTAGAGGCCTAAGGACTTCCAGGTGGACAGCGTGATTATGGTACCATTGGGACTGAGACTTCTTTGTTGGCATAGACACAGCGCGTCATTCGCTCTTTCTTTTCGGCGTTTGTGCCAATTGGAAACATCAAGTGCAATCAGGTCCTTCTTCACCAGGTTCTTCTAAAGGAGGGGAGGTCTGTCTCTCCTTCTACCGGCGTGTACGTCAGCGGTAACTCTATGTCTTTTGATTCGCCTGACTACAAAAAAGTCAATGTCGCGGTATATCTTCTACAGCTCATCGATCCATCGTCTTGTCCTCGTTTACTACCAGAGCCATGCGCTTTGCTTTTAATCAAGTCTAAAGCAAACAGAATTCAAGGCGCTATTGTTTCAGCTCCTATTATTCTCTCAAGCTATAAAGCACACGATAAGTACTTATGTACCTTGTTTGAAAACTCGTTGGTTATCGAACAGCTAAAAGAAGTACTTTCTGATCCTCATGGAGGTTTTGATGTTGACTAACGTCAGTTTGCACGGCCGTATCAGTTTTTCGGGGAAACCAAATTCCGACATAGCGGCGTAGAGGCTGTTCTAAAATCGACGAAGGGTTGATTTGTTTCGATCCGCTTTTCACGGGCCTTTTCCACAGTTTGGTGCATGCTGAATATCTGGTCAATGGTGGATTTACCAGATCCAATACGCTTCGCAAATCCTTACATGCAATAATGAGGAGGCACAAGCTGTGAGGAGCAAAACTAAGTTCGAATCCAATGCATGCATCTGGTATTTGGGTAGTCGACAATCCATCGGACCCTGTTTTTTTTTTTGCTAGCGACCATTGCTATACGAGCTTAGTCGCCATACTCCAATAAAACATCTGTTCCATCAACAACGTTTTGGGAACCGGGTTCGCCATCTCAATTTTACTATCTTCATACATTCAGTTTAATGTGGACATCAACCCACTTTGGGTTCTACAAGTATTTGCTCCGGTCTTGAAACCGTCTTTCTGTAAGTTGCTGCATCTTTTTGTAACTCCATATTACAAAAACAATATAAATTCAATATATCCAGGTATAAGCATTTGTGGTTCATAACTGCAAAATAAACTCCATAAAAGTCTATCTTATGGGCAAAGTACAGTAACTTTTTCCTTTACATATATGTATACATGTATATATACACCTATATATACATTATAAAAATTTTCAGATGGTTCAATGACGTCGTTGATAATTACTTAATCGAATATCGATAGATTTAATTTACATCAGAGAAAAGAAGTGGAACGAATGTGGGAAGAAACGAAAAAAGAATATTACAAAATCGCGGGAGTGTTTCACATTTTATGTTCGCAACATTAACACTCGTGCATACATAAATATATGTTGAAATTCCACAAGATTAATCAGCTGAAGCATCCACAAAGCTGAGATATCATATTTCAAAGGAAAAAAAACTCCTTCTGCTTCGTTGCTATGTACATAAATAAGTGTAAAGATGAATGAACTTGTTTATGTGAAAAAGTACCTCAAGTTGAATAACAAGAAGAAGATATTGCCAACACTAAAAATATTAAAACTATGAAGAAAAGCAGTTTTATATGAAAGAAAATACTTCAAAAGCCATGGCCGCATACTGCCAACATAGGCGTGTTTAAGAGGAGGTCGAATGTCTAAGTGTTGGCGCTGTAAAAATTGAATATTAAATGGTCATGACGTTTCTGAGTGCTCCGAGGCTCACTATTGATTTAATCTTTATCCCAAGTCATGACTAATTCCGGTTTTAAAATTCTTAAAAATTTTTACAATTGGCCCTGACACTCTGTGATCAGGATCTACCTCGGGCTAGGTTGTAGTGGTAACCGATCTACCACATTGGTTACAATTAGGTCTAACTACCTCTTCTGTGACCACAAAAACTTGATCATTAGGACAGCTATTCAATTATTTCGATTCCCTAATGAACTTCGTTAGTTCTTTGACGCCATCTATCTTCGAGAGGCCATTCAGAAGTAGGGTCCATTTCCAATTTCCAAACCTAAAAAGCAGGATAATCTCATAAGAGATGGACAATCATCTTTGCAGTTCCTGCAACATCTTCCCTGCATGGTAACAGGGCTCTATTTTCCCCCTCTTTTTAAGGATCTTTTCTGATCTAATTTCAGGTCAGGTGCTCTTAGAATTGGAGCAGGTTGTAGTTTGATTATCCGCTGTAACGATCGGCGGCAGTCCAGCACAATTTTGGAACTTAGTATAAGCTAGCTCAGCGCATGTATTACTGACTGACTGTCGCCGAATATATAGATATCCAGAATAACAGATATCTTCGCCTGAAAACACCACCTCCGATTCTCCCCTCAAGCTTTTATTCATGCATGTATTGTATTTTTCCAGATTGCCATCCGAAGTATAGTAATTTTATCCATCCATCTCACGAATAATGTAGGAAGCTACGAAAATGCGGGCGAGTATGCTTGCGCTGGTGAAGCTGTCACCATTGACTGTCTCAGACCTTTCAGCGCACTCAAATCTTAGCTAAAGCTGAAGACCATGAAGAAACCTTTAAAGTCTTGGAGTAGTTTCGACGAAGCGCAGCGGAGTTTTCGAACATTAAGTGGCAACCCTGTAATATCATTTCCACAGACTAAGTGCGGTGCGATCGGCGTAAAGTCGGTTGAGGACGACAAAATGCTACCCAACCCGGGTTGACCGATAGAGATCCCAAATCTTATACAATGCATCCAGCATCCAACGGAAGGAGAGCTAGAATCGCTGGTGAAGCAATCGTCTTTGATTTTGTACCGTTATGTTACTTATTGTATATTTCATATAAAAAGACACAGCAAGCGTCATGAAAACCGCAAGCAACGATCAGAAAATTCTAACAGCTGTGTAAGTAACCCTAACTGTCAATGGCACGAGACAGTTACAACACGCCATCCACAACTTTACAAACAGCGTGATATATTGTATAATATATACTAAGATTGAATTGTTTTAATATTTTCTGTATTTTGTTTCTTTTTATTTTTTTTAGATCCCTAAATTTTCCAGTACCTTAAATATAAAAACAATTTTTTTTCAAAAGTAAAATAAACTTTTCGCTTAACTGCCTTTTTTCTTTGTTTTAATACATACATACATAAGCAATCGTATGCCTGTATTTAGCGTGGTAAAACATTTGCCACAAAGTCCACAATTTCAGCGAAATTGCTCTAGTTAATTGATTTTAACAGGTGGCAGGTTTCATGCCATTTTCCACTGGAAATCCATTTACTGCTCGCATTTTATGCTTTGCTACAGAATGCGCCTTTCACCGAATGCGGCTAGAGTGATTGCAACAAAGCAGCTGGGCACCATTGTATGCACTTAAATATGGTGCAACATAATTTTGTTGCTAACTTATGCATGGCTTTTGACTGTGTGTATATGTATGTGATTCTATCCGACCAATCATCAATGGTACCTGTTTTCTCGCCCACATCTTTCAATGCAATGCCAACAACATGTCAAGTCAGTGGATGTCGGTAGTCAAGATGCCTTGCGCAACATCTGGCCAATAAACTACAGCAACTGATACTGTTATAGTATTCGCGATTTGATTAGATACTATTTTATATGTACATACATATGGAACATACATGTGCATATATTTATATAAATTTGTAAGTAACATTTTTCATGTACATATGAATTACTACTATTTAAAGCTTTTACACAAAAAATTTTGGTTTCAGTTGAAAATTCAACCTTTCGCAATTATTTTACTTTTTTTAATTGTAGCAACTTAACTTTATTTTGTTATTTTATTTTTTTATTTTATTTTATTTATTTTCTTTTTTATTTTATTCAACTCATTTCATTTATTTTTTGTTTTATATTATCTGATTAGATTTAATTAATTTACATTAAATATTTATTTTATTTAACTTCATTTTATTTAATTTTTTTTAATTTTATTTTATTTATTTATTTTATTTTATTTCATTCCCTTTTATTATGTTTTGGTTTATTTATTTGATCTTATTTTATTTCGTTTTTTTTAATATTTTGAACTTTTTATTTTGTTTTACATTTAATTTAATTTTAATTTATTTTACTCTTTTATTTTTTCTTATTTTGATTCATTTTATTGTATTTAATCCCATTTAATTTTATTTAATTTATTTGTTTTCTATTACTATATTTTATTTTATTTTAATTTAGTTAATTTTATTTTGGTTTATATAAGTTAATTTTTTTATTTGATTTAATTCTTTTTATTTTGTTTTATTTTTTTTTTATTTCTTTTTATTTTATTCTATTTTATTTTATTTCATTTTGTTACATTTTTTTAAATTTTATGTACTTTCTTTTTATTTTATTTTATTCTTTAATTTCGTTTTATTGTACTTTTATTTGAATAAATTAATTTTTTAATTTTTTTATTAATCTAATTTTTTAATTTAATTTAATTTTTTTAATTTAGTTTACTTCTTTAATTTTTTATATATTAAGTTATGTTTTTTTAATATTAATTTATTTTATTTTATTCTATTTATTTTATTTTTTTTAATTCGTTTTATTTTGATTAATTTTATGTATTTAATTTATTTTCGTTTGAATTTATTTTTTTTTTACTTAATTTATTTTATTTTATTTTCTGTTTTATGTTTTATTTTGTTTTGCTTTATTTTATTTTATATTAGTTTACTCTATTTTATTTAATTTTAATTTTTTTGTTTTAGTTTGTTTCATTTTATGTTTATTTTCTTTCATTTTTTTTATTTTATTTTCTCCAATGTTTTCTTTTTAATTCACTTTATTTTAATTTCTTTTATTTTATTTTATTTCGTTTTATTTTATTTTATTTCAGTTTATTGGATTATTAATTTATTTCATTACTTACTTATTTACTTTTTTATATTAATTTAGTCTATTTAAATCTCTTTGTTTATTATACCTTTTTCATTTTTGTTGCATTTATAATATTTATTAAATTTAAATTTATTTACTTCCTTTTAATTTATTTATATTTTAATATCGTACAAAACATGTACAAAGAACGTATGAGAATAAGAAGCGGCAACACTCATACGGTCTTTGCGCTAATACGGTTTATATACGTTCTTTGATATCGTACACTCTCTAAGAACGTATGTTGTACTAAAAATCATATTAAAACTGTTGTGTGTCTCGGCTGTAAACGGGAACGAAAAATAATGTTACGAAAAAAGTTTTTTTCGTCGAAAGCAGCGTGCTGGAAATGTTTTTGAAAACAATACTTTTTAATTGATTTGGGGACAAAATTGCTTTTCATTTTTTTGATGTCTAAAAACTAGTTTCGAAAAGTTGCTAATCATTCTCAAACTTCTGCATGTCAATTACATTTTAATATCTTTTTTCAAATCACCCTGTGCTAGCTTTTATAGACACTGGCATTTATCGCCGAATAACAGAAAATCAAACTGATGGAACAGTCTGTACTGCATTATGCGGAAGGAAAATGTTTAAAAGCGGAAACGAATTTGGCATTTCTGTGAAGTAACTGTATTTTATATATGAAAAGTGAAGTGAAGAGTTCTGGTAAATGTTTTGTAATATCGCATAAAACTAAATTAAACTTAATGTGTTTAAACAATTACTATAAAGTGCAATTATATTCAATATTTCTTTTACATATTTAAGGAACTAAACTCCAGTGATCCCATTCTTGTATTTCATTATATAATATTAAACCTGGACTCTGTGTGCTGGAAACTTGTGAAGCAGCCAAAAGTATATAATTTCGATCCAATTCGCCCTCTTTAACACCGCAGGCGAGCAACTTCTTCGCCGCAGTTAAAGCAGAACGAGATGGCAGTTTTTCTTAAAGAACATAGTAAAGAAAGAATGTGAAATTGAATTGAAATTTATATGCAAGACATTAACTGTTTGTGAATACCTGCAAAATTGCCGATAAATGCAATACCCGTGCCATTCATATTATAACCATAAGTATGTGCGCCGCGCACACCCCAGCCAGTGCCTTCGTAAACAATGCCATCATTGCCAATGAGGAAGCTAAATATAAGGTAATATATTCATTAAGTAATATTTTAATTTTAAAAATAAATCAATTAATAATTTTCAAATAAATTCCGCGTTAGTTCAAGAGTTCAGATGTTGTTTCATGATAGGTAAAGCAGACAAACAAATTTTTTGTGGGGCGTTTCTTCAGTAATAAAACTAAAAAAACTAAAAATCCAAAATACTCACTTATAACCAATATCATCATAATCCAAATCATTCATATGATATGTTTGTGTATTCTGCAATATCGCTGCACATTTCAAAAACTCACTACACTCATCGGAAACTGTATGATGTATGATAACGTAGTTTATGGGACGCACTTGATATGTTAGTGATTTTGCCGGCTTTCCGCCCCACTGACGTTTCAACTTAATACGCGGACATTCTGTTTTACCCGTCGAAACGTGATTAATACAAAATATCAAGCCGAGCAGTAAGAGTAAGGTGTTACTTTGCATTTTAAAAACACGCGTTGTGTTTTCTTGCTTTTACTGATGCTACACCGTTCTAGCGTTTTAATCGATCCAAAGCCTTTTACGGCTCAGCTTCAACTGTTCATCGTTCTGCTCTTGGGCACTCGGTTTTATTATCAGCAGAGCAATGAGAGATAATGTGATTTTGTTTTGATACGACACAAAAACTCAATCGCTCTTTTCATGCCGAGAAATTTGCAAACATTTTTAATACATATGCATGTTTGTAAATATTGATGTATGTATATATGTATGTACATAGTATATTCGAGTTTTAGTGCTTATACTTTTATTTTTTACCGCGAAACGTCATTTCGTAAAACCGGTTCGGTTGATGAGTGTTCTTTCGTTCAATTCTACAATGCTTACCGCAAAAAAATTAATAATAAAAAATAAAAACTGGTATCGATCTGAATGTCTTGATTAGAGAACGCATTAGTGACGTTATTTCCAAAGCTGAAAAACCTCTCCCTTTGATTATCATTTACTCATGTCATAATGTAAACAAAGCTAAAATTCTGTGATTGAAATGATTGTAGTGGTTTTAATGTCATGTTTTGCGTTTATTTTTTTCTCTTCTCTATACATATATACGTCATTCTTAATTATCCAAAGTGGTTAATGAATTGTGTAAACAATTATCATTTACTAAAATAATCACAAATATTAATTAATGGAGTTTGTATGTACTTCCCCTCTTTGTACAAAGATTTAATTTATTGAAACCGCAAATTTTGGCATAATCGTTATATTTACATTAATTAAAAAGTGAAATTTTTGTGTGATGGATTCAAGGAAAGAATTTATAATTTGTATTTAAGAAAGCTGTCGAGCTGCAACCTCGAAAAAAAGGGTGCTTTCCTCGCAACTGGACTGGACACAACACGTCTGTGATGAGATAAATACCGAAAGCTGAATTGAGATGCATTTGTAAACCGAAATAATAGATATACATATGTATATACGTTCCATTACCCGACTATTATGAGGTTCGAATAGCGATTGCCCGTTTAAATAACAACGAAACAACTGGAGCTGACTTCATACCGGCAGAGCTATTAAAACATGACGATGAAAAACTGAAAAACTGACAATGTGCATGCATCAGCTTCTTTCAAGAAGAAGGTCGAAAGCTTGCCCGACTATTGGAATTTTAGTGTGCTCTGCCCAATCCATAACGGACACACAGTTTGCGCTAATTGCCGTCGGATAACCTTAAATATCGAGTAGAAAGGATCCACTATTGACCAATTATTCACCATACACCAAGTCTTAAGACCCGCGACACGATTTTAAAGCTTCACAGTAAGGAGCTGGTCTACGCCGCTTCGAGTTTGTCGTTGAATTAGGGTTTCCCGAAAAATTTATCCGGCTGTGTAAACTGACTCTGGACAACAGCAGATGTGCAGTCAGAAATGGGAAGGACCTTTCCCAGCCGTTCGATACTAAACGAGGTTTCAGATTGGGTGTATCTTTACGAGTAGCTTCTTTAATTTAATGTTGAAGAAAATAATACGAACTGCAGAGGTGAATATTAAAGGTACAGTCTTCTATAAGAGTTTCATTGACCTTAATAACCGTACTATTAGTTCTGCTTTCTCCAGAGTAGATAAAGAATCGGCTCCCACGTCACTGTTGACAGTCATATCTGAAAAGTCGTAGATAATCTCGTCTATTTTTGAACCAGAACTAACACCAGTAATAACATCGGCCTGGAAACTCAACGCAGAATCACACTTGCCAACCGGTGTTATTTTGTACTGAATATATGGGGCGGTTACGCGTCATGTCATATGAATGGATGAAACCATTCCAGCTTTAAAGGTATTCGATGAAAATCCGTTAGTGGAAGTACAGGACTACTAAAATCTGCGGGTTTTTGGAAATACCAGGTGGACAGCGATGTGGTTTCACTTGGTATTTTCAAATGACGCCAAACAGCGAAGAGAAAAAGAATGGCGCGCTATGGTTTATTCGGTTATAATCGCTTAAGTTGCGGACTCTTCAATAAAGGAACAAAAATTAAGCAAAGCTTGGTTTCTAAGCTTCCGCGCACAATGTCATTTTTAATTGACGTTTTGGTCAGCTGCAGCAGACTGACTTTAGCTCCGTTCGATGAGAAATGTCCGTAAGAATTTTCAAAATTTAGTTCTTTTCATGTAAATTTTTCTCGGTTTTTGCCTCTCACAGTGTGTACCAGGAAAAGGTAACAATTTTACTGTCCTTCATCTTACCGAACAAAGCTTTTGTATATTTATTTTACCCTACAATAAACTAGAGTAAACTTTGCTTCGATTGATCTTTCCTAGTCTCAGTGTACAGTTTTGTGTTGGACTGCTTGCTTCAAGCTACTCTTTGGCATTACTGATCCAAGCATGAAGGGAATCAAAAGGGAATTAAAAGACTGGTTGCAAAAGGAAGGATTCACATGTGATAGCTACTGAACTGATTACCAGGATGTAACCATGTTCGTCCAAACCCATTCAGGAAAGTGATACGCACAAAATAAACGGTCTAGTTTCGTTAGGCGAAAATACTTTGAGAAGAAACAGTTGGCTTTAGGACCGCAATGTGCAAAACATATCATGCCAAACTCTAGGCATGCTTCAGCTACTACATCCTTCAATTTGGGCACGGTAAAGGACATCAAGTACGGGAGAATAAAGAAATGTGCGTAGACAATAAAGTAAGTAATATGTGAGTGCCCGGCGCTCGCAGCCTGAGTCTGATCTTACTTGCCGGAATTAAGGTGTAATATGCCGACTACTTCAATTTCCAAAGAGAACCACAATGTTTTTTTAAACTAGAGACTTTGGTCGAATTTAGTGTATCTTTTAACAATATGGACTTGGTATTGTCTTGTGAAACAGTTAGTTGCAATTTACCTTGATTCTTCCGTTAAAGAAATATTTTCTTTCCAGCTCTAATAGTAGCCCATCGAAAGCTGTTCCAGCCGATTATATTGTAATCTGTCTAAGGGGAGTAATGGGTGTTCGGCCATAACTAAAAAAATCTTCCGTCACTGACCACCGACAGCCTACGTATACGTATCATCTTGCATACTTGTATATATGTATATTAAAGGTTGTCAAATATCTTGTCTTTCGAATTTCGCGGCTATGTGCAAAGCGCTACAGAGCTCGTATCTGGCCACACTTAACATAATTTGAAAGGTCTTGACATAACCTACAAAACAATGCTATGCATGATAGTTTGGATATTGCGTTCAACAGTTGTAAACATGGAGTTCACTAACGCCGAAATTCGCGCTATTTTAAAGTTTTCCTTCGGTAAAGGCAAATCCGCTAGAGAAACGTTCCGTGAGATTAATGGTGTTTTGGGGGATGGTACTCTATCACTTCGAACCGCGGAGGAATGGTTTCGACGATTCAGAGCCGGTGAAAACGACACCATGGATAAGCCAGCCTGCGGAAGACCTGTGACGACAAATACCGATCAAATCATGGAATAAATCGAGTTAGACCGGCATATGGCATCTCGTGAGATGGGAGTTAGTCACCAAACCATTTTGAACCATCTGCAGAAGGTTGGATGCAAAAAAAGTTTGATGTTTGGGTGCCGCATAATTTGACGCAAAAAAACCTTCTGGACCGAATCAACGCTGTTTTGCTGTGTGTTTGGTGGGATTGGAAGGGAATCATCCACAGACGCTTAACTCTACCATCTACTGCAAACAACTGGACCGCTTGAAGCAGGCGATCGATCAGAAGCGTCCAGAATTGGCCAACAGGAAGGATGTAGTGTTCCACCAAGACAACGCCAGACCACACACAGAAGCTACGGGAGCTCGGATGGGAGATTTTATCGCATCCAACATATAGCCCGGATGTAGCGCCTAGTGATTACCACCTGTTCCTGTCCATGGCGAATGCCCTTGGTGGTGTGAAGTTGAACTCAAAAGAGACTTGTGAAAAGTGGCTGTCCGAATTCTTCGCAAATAAGGAGGGGGGCTTCTACGAGGAAGGTATTATGAAGTTGCCGTCTAGATGGAAACAGATCATCGAACAAAACGGCGCATATTTTAACTAAATCCGATCACTGTAACACTTTCTATAAAGCATTGAATGAAGAGCAAAAAAGGGAAGGGAGATATTTGACAACCTTATATAAGGAGCGCTTTGTAACTGCTGAAGCTGTTTTTAGTCGGGCTCCTCCTCCAATTTGTAATATGCGACTTGATGTTATTCCCAACAAATCGAGAGAGACCCGCCTCCGAACGGCCGATGGGCTTTTATGAGGAGCTTTTATATCATACACTCGGATGGGTTGACATTCCCTGCCGAGGATGGACCGCTGTAAAACATTTTTTCTTAATTTTTTATTTAAATTAATTTTCTATAGGTCACACGAGGAATTTAACCAGAGCCTTCTGAATGGCAGTACGCAATGCTAATCACTCGGCTACCGCGGCCGCCAGTATTCATCACTTTAAAAATGACTGACAATGTTTTTTTTCCTTGACAATATTTTTTATATAACAAGCGCCACACGATTTTTACGCATAAAAACTAAAAAAAAATTGTAATCATTCACGAGCAAATCTAACGCAGCAGCAACAACACCTGTTCACCATTTGGCTTTGCAATGTGCGCGCACCTTATGCTCGGTCAACTTCCCCCTTTTTTACAGTTTTTCATTGCGAGAGTATGCAAAAGGACACACACACACACACACACATACAATTGCAGATTCGTAGAGTTTTCAACGCCTTCGCATTTATACGTTCTGTTTACGGCGCGGCACACACGCGTAATAACCGTTTTTTCCACGTTTTCTCCACGATTTTCAATGCTTCATTGAGCGCCGGAGAAAAATCATTTATACATATGTAAGTATGTATGTTTATGAGTAAGCTTGTATATTTACATTGAAAGTTAACTTAACTCTCAATCGTTCGGTCAAGCACCCTGTATGAGCAAGAGAACAAGTTCACCATGCTTGGAGTATCTCAGTATGTATGTATGTGTGTGCTTGCATGTTACCAAATTCGAATAATCGCACAACATTTGATTATGACCAAAGAGCGACTACGCAGAACGTATGCACTGCAACCCGTGCTTCCACCACCACACCACATCACAAGACCACCACCACCACCACCATCTAGATGAATTGATGCAATGATGCATTTGAATATACACGTATGAAAAGTTGCATGTAGGAATTTATAATTTTTAAGGTGCACAAATAACCCAATGAGGAATATGACTTTTACAGAAAAGGATTTTTTAGATAATCACATATACATATAGAAAGATCAGGACGGTACAATTGGTATATTCGAACCCTAAGAAAAGCCCGAAAGTATATGAATTTGCTTTTGTTCAGTTCCAGCAGTCTCTAGACAGCAGTGTCAGCTGGCTGAAAGCAGTCCCTACTACATACCAAAACCACATAACAAACATATGGAAATAATCGACATTTTTTTGTTATAATTTCCAAAGATAGAAAGATATTTAAGAACATAGCAAAGGGAAGTGATTCATATCAGGCCAAGCTCTCGAAAATCTTACACCCCTACTTGAAAGGAAAGGTCAGCGAAGACAGCATTACACATTAAAGTATAATAAATCCAAAGAACTTAAAGAGTCTGGCCATTATCGTTTTCAAAGCGGTAAGATCCAATCACACCTACAGACCGAAGTACGCACCGGAAAGTAAGTTTTTTGAGTATAATGTCATGTCTTCAATTATTTGAGATTTTTCAGAGCTCCAAATGGGACAATTTTACCTCGTTGTTCGATAAATTGCTCTTCACTGCTTGTTCTTCAAGTACCCAATCGACGTATGTACTGAGTTGTGAATAGTCAGCTAGCTTAAGACTTTATATGGATGTAGGTGTAAGTCCAACGAGGTCTTCGGCTACACTTTCACTTACAGTAATAGTATTTGAGGTGGAACAAGCAAAAGGATAATGCACAGACCTTTTAATATCTAGAAGCGATCCAGTATCCTCAAATTTCTTGCCCTCCAATATCTGTAAACGATCCATTATTTTGAGTAGATGGACGATTATGTCCACCATGATCTACTCTTAAAGTACGAAACGTGGCCACGTAAGTTTAAAAATTTTAATACGTTAAGCGATTCATTTTTATAAATGCCTAACTTTTAACTAAAACAAAACATGTTTGCTTTGACAGATAACAAAATGCAACCCTGTAATTTTTAAACCACGAAATGGATAACCCTATACATGAAATGCACAGTATCGTAGGGTCTGAGCTCACAGTAGTATCGGCAATTATGTTAGCGGAGGACTATTTGTTAGTTATTATGTAGGACGAACTAAGACGGGTAGAAAGGGTACTGATGGCTGAATTCGGATATGTTGAAACTGTATATAAGATTCGGTGGTGGAATAGTATTAGCAAGTCCTTTAGTCTAGCAGAACACTGTCGCGTTCTTTAAGCAGATTTCTAGATTTAATGATACTCTAGCATCTAATATACATACATATTTTCAGATAGTTAGGTAGCTCTAAGCGTCCTGGAGTCTGTAACTATAAATTCATATACGGTAGAGTATTGCCGCTGTGACTAAGTAGTTCTCTTGACCCTAGTATTGCCTCAACTACTGCTACCAAGTAGCGAGATGCCGTGCGACTTGTAAAAAATGACACTTCCCTTCCTCTTTCGCCATCATGGAAGAATCTGAGCATGCAGCTTTCCACTTGTAAGCCCACCGTGAAAGAATTATTCATCATAGATGTCAAGTTAAGATTGAACTGCTCCGATTTTTGCTATTGGACCAGGATAAAATGATATATATGCTAAAAAAAAAGATCAAGAGAGAAATGAAATATCTATAGCATTTCCCAAAATTAATGCAAGATTTGAATTAAGTACTAAACACAGCATTTGGAACCTCAGTCGGCCAAAATGTATTCTCTTCTCGCTTGCAAAAAATAAAAATAACTTAACTTCACTTTATATTTGCATTGCATCATCTAGACATTTCCTGCTGGGTAGTCACTTGTCACTGGCTAGGTGAAAATCGAAAATCGCTAGCTGCTACGTGAAACTTATTCTTCTCAGCTAATTTCCCAAAGTTTACTTTGCATGACTGCGCAAGGGTTATGAGTATGCCGAGCTCCTTTTTCCTACCTCTATTTTACTCCGAGAGCTCGAAATTACACAGCTGACATCCGGCCGCTCAGTCGGAGTTTAACTAGCGCATCGAAATGTACGTTTAAGTGGATAAAAGCAGAAAATTTCGGGCGTTTAGTTGAAGTAGTGACAAAAATAAAGGGAAAAAAATAAAAAAATAAATAAAATAATAAACCAAAGTACCCCTGACAAGTACACATTTAGTGCAAAAAAAAATAATTCAAAAAGTTTATTAAATGGAAAAAATAATATTGAGAAAAAATTTAATGAAAAGAAACGAAAAAAATATAAAAAGTGGACTTAAAAAATAAAATTAAAAAATCTTATTAAAAACAAAAAACGCTCAAGTGCCTTTTATCTTGAAACCTTAATGTTAAAAATCTTAAAAAAATTTATTTTAAACAAATCTGAATGGTGGCAGATATTATTAATTTTTTAATGATTCCTAAACAATAAACTATTAATATAAATTAAAAAAATGAATATAAATAATAAAAAAAAAATACAATATTTTATCATATTAAATTATTCTAATTAAATATAATCTTTAAAATAAATGTTAAGAAAATAAATAAAAAAATTAGAAAGAATTTCAAAAATCATCGAAAAAAATTTCAGACTTAAAATTAATTTTTCGTGAATTAGTATTTGTGTATTTGTATATAAAAATTTAAAAATACCCAAAAAAAATTTAACAAATACTTTGGTTCATAAAGCTCAATATTAGTAAATTATTAAACAATATTTTATAACTAAATAATCAAAAACAAAAAAAAACATTAGCACCAGTTTCGAAATTTATTTTAATTGATCAAAAACTGTGTTTGTGTTAGCTTCCGCACTATGATTGTCAATATGCCCGCCACTACCAGCGGCCCTCTGCCAAACGAAACATTATCCGTGCCTACTACATCCGCGGCCTCTGCAGGTGACCATAATTCGCCAACACATTGTGAATATAATATTCTAAAACGAAAATATGAAGGCGCGTGCACCGACGGCAGTATTTCCAAAAGTAACACGTCCGAATATCACAACTCCACGACCTGCAGCACGACACCTGTTTGGAAAAAGCGTCATCTGCAGGAAACCACCGGCGTTATGAATGATCCGCAAGCTTGCTACAATAGCGTCAACAGCGTAAACAGCGTCAACAATACTACCACCACCACCACCACGACCACCACTACCAACAACAACTACAATATATATAATCACACAGGCGAGGGTACGCACATGTTTTTGGAGTCTCTACAAAATGAGAATGTACAGAATGAGGTATGCGTTAGCACAAGTGCCACTAATACAATTAATAACAACAACAATATAAATGTAATTAACAATAATAATAACAGTAATAATAATAACAATAATAATAGTAATAAAAGTAATAATAACAATAGTAATAATATCAACAATAATATTAACAACAACAACAACAGCAACAACGAAAACAATATGACATTCAATCTTATAACCGGCAACAGTTCCTTCATAAATGATCTCTTCGCCTACGATGCCAATCTAATTGTGCCAGTTACAGCCAGTTTAGTACACCAAAGTGCAAGTAACAGCATATCTGACTCTACCTTACCTGCTTTCGCCACACCCTCTAACGTCTGCGTGAATACGAGCTATGATGATGGTAGCAATTGGCAAGCAACGGATCTTCTCGAGCTCGATCATCGTTATAATTCTGGTTTACAAACCGAAATCGCGCATCTACATCCGACCGTTTCACTGAAGGCAATGGAGGAGAGTACACTTAGCGTCATACAACAGGATCCCACACGCCTACCACAGTCACACCACTCGCAGCAGCAGCAACAACAGCATCAACAAACTCCCAATCAAACACAATTTCTAGTTCCTGAGAAACAAGTGTCAAGTATATCATCGAATGTGGGGCTGAATCGGTATCGACCAACTATCGCTGGATCATCACAAACACCACAAAGTCAGTTATCTAATGTATTAACCGATCAGGAGGCGGATTTTGAAGATAAAAATCTTTCATGGTTATTGAATTTTAAATTCGATGAATTTCCTCATCTCTCACCTGATTTGGGTGGCACCAACAATAATAATTTGCCGCCAGTCGCCTTAGGGAATAGCATGCAAACCCATAATGTGAGCTCACCTACATCTTCTTCACACAAATCAAACTCCTGCTCGCCGCATTCATCGTCAACACAGCAAGCGTTCAATGATTATACGCGTTCACCAAAAAGTTCTACTAAAGCGGGTAGAAAGTTCGAGGAGCTTGTTATGGAAGTTACTGCCGAAGTGGATGGGAATGATATGATGGTTGCCGAAAATGTTGTCGTGGAAAACTCACCACAGAGAGCGTAAGTTTCCACTCAACTTTGTTTAGTTTACACCATGCTGATCGTTAAAATGAAGAAGACAACGATCTAACACATATATTCTAGGTTAGGTCATTTAGCAATTCTGTAAAGAAAATCTGCTTTTGAACGAATAGTACAATTCTAGCGACCGTGATACCCACGTGGTTAGCATTGCGTTCTGCCATTCGGAAGGCCAGGGCTCGAGTTATAGAAATTTTCTTTACATAACATTTGTGGTGCCCCTCGGCAGGGAATGTCAACCCCTCAGAGTTTATTTATGCCTCCGCTCGAAGGCGGCCTAGTATAAACAGTAGGTCTCAGCCGTTTCAAATGGGTTTCAAAAGGAAAATCTATCGGATTTCTGGTAGACAGTCAAGCGGCAATAAATCCAAATGCGTTAGAACATGCTAAGAGGCTATTAACAGATCATCACAAGGAAACACAGTGAATATCACTTGAGTTCCAGATCACACGGATATAGAAGGTATTGAAAAAGCGGACGCTTAGATTCACGTTCGACTGCCTCAGACCCTTCAGCGTCTTTAGAAGTTGTTTAAAACAGTGGATCATAGAGAAACACTTAAAGTCTTGGGACTCTTCCAACTTTGGATGTCCGGCCTTGAGCCGACTAAGACCTCAACCTCCCCTTTCAACCAATCAACCAAGCATTTGACCGACGAGTCAATAATAAACTGGGTACACCTGTGTTTTATGAAACCTCTAAGAAGTCTTTATGAATGAAATCCCAAGACTTCCGGCTGACCTATGTAGTAATTTTTATAAGAATACGTTATATAGTTTTGTATAAAATAAGCTCTAAAATAAGCTCGAGAGATGACTTATCGTATTAAGGATCCCATTAAAAAATAGATATTTCCATTTATCGACGAAACTTCAACCTTTCTCCTGCATAAGTATCCCAAAGGCTGATTTCATCTCGATAGGATAGGATTATAAATATATCTGTGCATTGATGATTTAGTTTAGGTTAAGTTGTTAAGGACCCTGATAAATATGCCGCATCGTATAAAACCCATTTGCCACAAAAATTTGTCCGCTCTCCGATTGTTATGAATCTCTAATAAGTCCCATCCGATCCATGACTTTATCGTCGGCCATCTTTAGTAGATCATTCAGCAGTAGGGCACCATAATTCCGAAACCTGGCACTACCCAAAACAGAGCAGTCGAATAGAAGATTATTGAAAATTTTCTCATCGTCATCATCCTTGCAGCTGTTACTATGGACATTTCCACCCTTTTTTAAAAGGACTTATCTCGTGATATTTTCTTATCCCTTGAATCTAATATCTAAATAAAATCGTCTCGAATCCTTTACTCAATGGTACTGTAGTTCTTTTCTTTGAAAGTAATACCAAACTGTATTGGAAGACGATATCAAAAAAAAAAAAATGATAAAGAAACCATAATTGGCCCATTACACCCGCAAAAGACTATATGCAGAAATTCTATGCCATGCAGCAGACTCTGTTATAGGACTTATGTAGTGAGCAGACGAAAACAATTTGGACATAGCGATATATTAAACCAACTAACAGCACCATTAAACAAGTCAGATTCTATCTTCTCAAGTTTTGGTTTCAAAAATTTCCCCCAGGTGAATATACTACGTGAATGGAGGGTCAAATTTTGCAAGAGAGCTGAATACCATCTCACTTTTAACCGATCAATCTATAATAATGACCAATGATAAATTCAAACGTGTAAAACAACGGTAAACTGCTGACACGTCAACTCGACATCGCCTTAATCTGTGCTTCCGGTCATAGGAAAATTTTCGGTAATGAAAAAGTTTACGAATTGACCAAGTCGGGAGCATCTCTTGATGAAACCGATAAGACGGAAATAATATCGTGTTCGCTATGAAAGATCACGAGGAATCTTTACATATAATTTGAACAGTTAAAGGTGAGGAGATAGAAGAACTACAAGATATCAAAGTAGATTTGGCCGAAATATGATACGACTAAAAGGACAAAGAACCTACTAAATTGATGAGGAAAATATAGCTCCGTTGCCGTAACTGCAAACTGAAAGGGAATAAATAGGAGAAACAGTTTTCAGTCAGTCAATTTCCTCTGTGTGTACCCAGTTCTCTAACAAACTCCACATACATCGCTATCCTCAAAAAACATATCGAATAAAAATAGTTTTACAGAGAACACTTGTTAGCTCAAACGTAACCATGAAACGTGGTAGGAGTGCTCTCCTACTTTCTTACCTACCTATGTGAAAGGCCAAAGCCGCAAATAACGATTTCCTATTTCGAGCATACGAAATGACGAAACAATGCACCAAACCATTTCGGTCATTGGCTTGTGAGATATTATAGTATATTAGTTCTTTAAGTTCTCGGACCCCCTACCAAATTATCTCTCCAGATTGAACGTATTTTCTTTTACAAGAATTTACACATTGGTCGAGTCCTCATTCAAATCAAAATGACATTTAGATTTCACAGCATGAATCAGAGTATGTTTAGTCTACTTTTATTTTTAAAATAAAAACATATGGCTTCTAAAAGCTTTTCGCTTTTAATATGTACTAACATTTCATCTTGGTTGGTTGGTTAGTTGAAGTGGCTGCCGGGCATCGGCTTACCTAGGCCCCGAGCGACGAAAAGAACCATTATGATACCGCTGAGTATCAGAGATCCCCCACCTGATAATCGAACCAATACTTGGAGTTTACAAAACTGAGCAGTTGCCGTATCTTAGCCCCCGCTTTCTCGCCCTAAAGTGCCTTAAAGTTTCCGGTGCTTCTTCCTGCATTCAACTTCTGCATTATTAAATGGTTTAAACGCTCAATATCTCTGCGTAACGGCCCAATAAGATATGTCCTATAAAAAGACATATAACTGTGGACATATTTTTCCTTTCAGCTTCGGTCTTAGATTTTACTATTACCAGCGTTAGGGCTCGTAATCAGAGAAATTGTCGATACGATTATCCGAAAGTACCAATCATCTGACAGCTTCATGTATGGACACCAATTCTGCCTGAAAAACATTACAGTGGCCCGGTAAGCGTAAGGATTTACAGATACCAAGTTCCCTTGAGTATACCCCTCCGCCGACCTTGTTGTCTTTTGTAGGTTTCTATCCGCGATAACTACCTTGAAGTCTGTCATGAAGTCAGTGAATGATATGCAGGAATCTGTTTTTTTTTCGGTACACGGAATCTTTTTACGATGCATACCAGCATCTAGCCCATGGTTTATAATTATCCAGTCAGACACCTTCTGCAGCGGTGCAAGCAGCATTGTGCAGCCCCATTGTGTAAACGGGGCGTAGATCTAAGAGAACATTCATTGCTTCAGTTGATGTAGTACGAAGCCCTCCACTGATGCTCAAGAGCGCTGTCCTATGTATGTATCGAAATAGTTGACTTGTTCTGGCCACCAGACTACAACCCAATAGAGAAGTATAGGCCTAACAGCTGTGGTATAAAGCCAATGTATTATTTCACCTTATTTTAAATCTATATTCTGATCTCGTTTTTCAGAGGAGTGCAAGCCCAAAAGTAAAAAGTTTAGTATAGAGCTTCAGCTTTAGGTTTGTTAGCTTATAACGATCCCTCCTACTTGGCATGGCATATTTTCGTATTAGAAAAATATGCATAAAAATCACATCATCAACATTTATACTACAAAATGGAGCAGAAAAAAAAGTAACCCCAAAAATATAATATTTCTTTTTCATATACTCGCACATTCTATTTGACGAATTTCCCACATTTCTACATTTCAACCACCAACAATGAACGCTACGTCATTTTGAAAAAACTCCCACCCCCCCACAATGTGGGCATAAAACGGAACGCCCCAACCCACACCACACCACACCACACCAAACCACATCACTCCACTGCGCATAATTGGGATTTGCCGCCGCCACAAAACCAGGCCAAAGAAACCACCATTTACGTATACAGAACTCATTGAATACGCCCTCGAGGATAAGGGTGAACTAACGGTTTCTGGAATATATCAATGGATATCGTAAGTACATTTAACATATTTATAAATAAATATTTAACAAACAAATCTTTTTTATTTTTTTTTTTTTTTTTATTTTTGATGTCTATACTAACATAAAAACATACATACATATGTACTCGCACATACATATTTGGGATTGTGACGCCATTTTGTGTAAATTTTATGAATAGTTTCAATACAAGTCGACTACCATTTAGGCCTTAATAGGGCATTTATATGTCTACACGTATGTATGTTAAATACTCGTAAATCTAAGCATGCGAGTGAGTGATAAAATATTTAGAAAACAAATATGTAACGGATGTAATTAAACAAAACGAAAGTATGCAGAAACTTAACTACTCGCTTTACAGTTGCAAAAGTATGTGTAAGTTTGCGGCTGCAAAAAGGTTAAGGAATTTTTGGAGGTAGCAAAGTTTTGATTTAGCGAAATGTACATATGTATGTATTTGTGTGTAAGAACGTTTGTAGTAGGTGTTTAAGTAAAATTATTTAAATCTATTTAGGTATATAAGAAAAATCTTTTATTTGATTCATTATTTATAAAGCTAAAGGCTTTGATAACAAGTAATCTCTTCAAGAAGAAGAGACTTCTTACTCATTTAGAACGCTTCCAGGGAGTGCTGACGATTATCTTTTCTTTTTTGCTACCCACAACATCACAAGCGAAAATATTCATTTTTTTGAATGAACCCTTTCGCGATTGTGTTATAATTTAAATTTTCATTCCAGCACCTTAGATCTCTCAGACTCACTTTTTAGCATCAAAAAACTATTCTTGCTTCTCTCAACAATTAAATTTTAAATTTCCATAATTTAAATTGTAACTGTTGAATAATATACCTGAACAGTTTTAAATCTCGACGCTTAACAAACGCTTCCCAATCATAACTCGGCGTATTCCGTACGTTCTACGGATGTCACCTATCGTGTCGGTTTGGCGGGCGGTGGGTATTCGTTGGGCTTTTTATTTAATTTTGAGTATTTTCTTAAAGATTCTATACATCTTAGGATGGAATATACGAACGTATTTTATCTTACTTCCTTTCTTTCCTAAACTAAAACCAACTAGATCTTTAAGCAAGCGACCGCAATAACCGAGTGGTCAGCTTGGCGTACTGGCATTCGGATGGCCTTGAACCCTGGCCAACATCCAAAATTATAGGAATTTTATGTTTCTAATAGTGTTCGCCCTTCGGCGGGGAATGTCGAGCCCTTCGAGTGTATTTCTGACATGAAATAAAAGCTCAGAGGCGACTTAGAATAAACTGTGGTCTCTCGTTTTGTTAGAAACGTACGACAACTTGGAGAAGGATCTAAGCAAAATCGCTTCATATATTATACCAAAACAACAACTGAATGCTTGACGTAAGACAGAAAGATTTAAATGAAACCTCTACAGTGATTAGTAAAAGTATAACTTTCATGTGGAACAGAATTATCGTGAAAGCAAAAATGAACCCGATAAAAGCAAAGACGAGTCGCTAGCAGAGATACCCTCTTTTAAAACTAGTCCTACATGAGAATTCCAGCACTAAAAAATCCTTTAGCCAAAAAGACTGCATGCCGACTGTCTCGAGCAATGGAATACCAGAACATGACCAACCCGATCAACCAAGCAATGACAATAGAAGAGATGTTTAATCGCCTGACCATGAAGAAGTTCGAATAGCAATCGCCCGCTTGAAAAACAACAAAGACCCCTAAAAAGACGATAAGCACACATCACGCTAGGTCTGATTTTAGTTTCCCCGCAAAAATTATACAGCTGCCGTTCAGTAAGACCAAAGCTCCGTCAGGACCTTGATGGACCTCTTCAAACCGTTTGGTACCAAACGAGATTTCAGACTTTGTTATGCTGATACCATTGGGGTCAACAACTTTCTTTAGACTGTATGAGGAAGCGTAGCAAATGGGTCTGGTCTGGTACGTGACGAGGGCAAGACAAATATCATCAATTAAACAATCAACGAATTTGCGACTGAGATTCCACGTCACTGTTGAAAGTCATAACGGTGACATTGTGGATAATTTCGTCTTTCATGAAACCAGTATTAACACCAACAACAATGTCAACCTGAAAATCCAACGCAGAATCATTCTTGCTAATAAATGCTCCCTTTGACTGAGTAGGCAATTGAAAAGAAAAGTCCTCTCCCGACGAACAAAACCCCATTCTAAGAGGCATTCATCACCTGACGTGTTATATGGTACAAAAGCGTGGAAGATTACAACAGCTCAAAACTCGGCGCAAGATTTAGAGTCCTCTGTGTGTTGGGAACGTTGAACACCACAATCGACACAAAGATGAGCTGTACGGCAGCATTGATATAAATAGTTCAGCGAAACAAGAGGCAGAAGCTGCGCTAGTTACGTCATGTGACTCAGTTGGTTCAGAAGAAAGTAAGGAACGATTTTCGGTCGAGTTCCTCCTCCATTTTGTGATATGATTCTTTATGTTTTTCTGCCTCCGAATGGCTAATGGATTTTCATGAAGATTTTTGATTTCAAATATACTCGGAGGGGCCGACGTACCCTACTTAGAGACGACCGAAATTGGAAAAATTAACATAATTTTCTTTATTTAAATCAATATTCTATAGTTTTTGAATGTTGTTCGGATCAGGATTTGAACTCTTCTTTCCAAATGGTAGTACGCATTGCTAACCATTCGACTATCGCGGCCACCGATGGTTAAAAATACTTGAGCATTAAAGTTTTCAATGTAGGACCCGCCGATGGAAACTAAGCCATACACAGACCTGTTTACCAAATAGAAGCTTTATATAATTTTAGCTAAAGTAGGGAAATATGACACAAACGCATTTTGCCAAGTTTAGAAGAGTCTTGACTCACGGTTTTCAAACTGCTTGTAGTTCTTCGAATAGCGAAACTTCTAGGTGCTTAAAACATTGTCTAGATAAGGCCGGAAATAAACAGAAGATCTATTGGAAAGTCTTACACCTGCCTGTTTTCCTAAACTCTATGTATGCATCACTACTTGTAATGTCCATTTTTACACGTGATACTCCAGTCAGTTCCTCTAATGTAATGTCATTAGACCTTAAAGGTTACTACAGTCCTTTTGGAACCGTTTGAGCCAAAGATTGGGGTATTATCATTCACTGTCATCGTAATTGATCCGAATAGCCGAGTTTTTAACATACGCCTGGAAAGTACTGCAAATTCCGGGATTTTAAATGGCTGCCTGAGATCTAACTGAGCGCAATAAACTCTGACACTCGCTTCTCCCTCAATAAAAACCTAAAGTTATGTAGTTTGCTTTGTCTACTTTTCCATTAAAATGGAGCTAAATGAAGCTTATAAAGGGTCTTTTTGGCGACCATGGCTTTCAATGACTGATTTGTACCCAATTTGGTTTGCTATTACATACTGAACGAACTTAATCTGGAGCAACGTTTACAAATAGTGCAAAATTTATAATTAAAATATTAATTCGGCTCTCGAGACTCATCGAACTGGTAACTCAAGCAACCATGGATCGGTTTGCACTACGTATCCTCTAGTGGGTAAGGTGCATCCTCAGAGACGCACCGAAAAGGCTAATGCTTTTGTAAAACAGAGTATCGAAAAATACCCTAATGAGTCCATCCCCCATCGTGGGCAACAATTCCAGCTGTGTCTATCTACTTTATGAAAGAAAGATTCGCGGAATCTTGGTTTGAGGGCTAACGAAATCCAACTCATGCAAGAATCGAAGCCAAACGACCATCTAACCCGTCGTATACTCAGTGAATGGGTCTAAAACGAGATGGCTCCGGATTCCGATTATCACAATAGAATTTCGTTGATGAAACTTACATTTAGTTGAATGGGTGCGTTAGTAAACAAAACTGTAGCATTTGAGTGATGATTGTCCACAGACCATGCGCCGTTGCATCGTCAAAAATTCATAATTTGGTGTGCTTTAGAGGCAGGCGGCCTATATTTTTCCAAAAATGCAGCCGGTCATGGTGTTACATTCTATGGAGAAAGCTATAAAACCATCTTTTTCGTTCCTCTTAAATTGGAGTATGTTGATGTGGACGACCAACGAAACAATTAATTCAATGAAGGAAACTTTGCTGTGCGCATCATCCCGCCTCCCCCGTGGGCCTGTGGCGTAACCACCAAGACTCTGTGATTTAACACGGCTTAGCAACCAACGATGGACGTTTTAGAAGAGAATCTTCGGCGCATTATTGCTGGTGAAAAAATTCCTCTTAAATTGGAACCACATACGGAAAAAGTTGTACAGAAAGTCGGAACTCTTCAATTAAAAAGAGTAGCTCTGCTGCTCCATGTAAACTAAATACTTAAAGGTAAAACGTACCATTAAATAGGATGATTTGTATGTTTAAGTCCTGTAAGAGAGGCCCACCCAAATGACAATAAATCCGCCTGTTTGGCAAGTTGTGTTCTCCTTCTACTTCTTAAATTACCTCGAAATAGGTAAACTCTTTATTCTGCTACTTAATTACTATGCGCTTTAAGCTGTCCGAGATTTCTGACAAAACTTTTCGTCCTGCACATAATTCAAGGTTTCGGCATAAGTTTTCATAGTTTTCGCTAGGCTTCATCATTACAGCGATTTTCCCCTCATTAAACGAAAGGAAATTAAAGTTGCGTGTTCATTGTCTATATATTGTACATATGTATACTCGTACATGTATTTGTATACATATGGACAGAGTATGAAAAACAACAACTGCAATATAGACTACCATCAACTACTTGCTAAACTTATAGGCAGTCTATAAAATGTGGCAAAGGTATGAGTTGAAGAAGGGTTTGAGTCTGATGTCTTGCGAGGTGGGGCGAAAACCAAACATTGTAAGTATATTTTACTTTTATAAATTATGAAAAATTTGTTGTTGGCATTTTATTAACCGAACGTCGGCAAATATATCTTGTGGGTTGTATGTAAATAACTAATGTTTGGCGAAAGGTATGAGGTTATGTTTGAATGCCTAGAAAGGATTCGACCGAAGTTAGACTGA